AGGAGGCGACACATACACACACACACACACATGAACATCAGAGTCTGTGACTAGTGCAAAGTGCCCCCCATAGATCTTAAATCTGCGTCTTCTTATTCTTGAAATAAAAGACCTCACAGTAAACCTTTTATCCCATAAAAGTACCACAAATATTGAAGTGCCCTTTTCGAGCTGGAGCCCTCCTCCACTGCCTTGGCCTAAATGTCAATGCTTAATCCTACCACACAAAAAAAACATAATGATCTTGGCAACAGACAGAAGAGATAGGGCAGAGAGAGAGAGCGAGAGAGAGAGAGAGAGCAGGGGAGAGGAGAGAGGGTGGAAAAAAGGAGCAAAACAGGGGGAGGAATTTGGAGAAAAGGTGATGTAGAAAAGTGAAAAAAAGAGACTGATAAGGATGATAGCAGATGAAGAGATGGAGGGAGAAGAGGAACAGTGTAAGTGAGTTTGGAGAAGCGCAGAGCATACGGTTGCATCCCCCCCTTCCTCATTAAGTCAGTCAATGTGACAGGAAGACTTATGTAACACCCCAGAGATGGAGGGAGGAGATGGAGAAAGAGTAACAAGGAGGAGGATGAAAGAGAGAGCAAAGGAGAGCAGCTGTGGAGGGGAAGGCGGAGGGGAGGTGATTGAGAGGCAAAGAAAGAGGGAGCGCTTAAAAAGAGATAAAGGGGCGAAAATATGAGAAAGAGAGGAGCTAAGACAATTAGATATGAAATATATAAAGAGAGGGAATCGACGGCGGAGAGATGAAGAGAAGAGGGGATAGATAAAAAAAAAAGCAATTGAAAGATCTACCGTGCCTTTTAGTACGGCTCTGCTGGCTTTACACTTTTCATTTGTTTTGTGGGGGAGAGATTAGCAAGAGGATTAAGAGAGCGATTCTCCCGCTCCTCATTCTTCCTGTTTTCATCTCTCTCTCTCTCTTTTTTCTATATCTCTCTTTTTTTTTTGATGGGCACACACACATTTGCTCACTCGCTCATGCATCATGCACACGCATACAGTATTATGGCAAGCATGTAGAAATTATGCAGACACAATAATTTACTGCACACATTCAGGCTGCAGCAGCTTCCTTTCCTTTCATGCCTACATGATTCTGTACATCTGCCAGGTAATTTTTTGTAAGATTAACAATGTGTGGTCAAGTGTAGGCAGTGTCAGAAAATTAACAAACAGCAGCATACAAACACAATACCCCAGAGACCTTCAGGAAGTTGCTTTTCTCCCCCTTTCACACACAGCCTAAAACAGCATGGGCCTGATTCACATGTTGTTTTGTGTGGCTTTTGCGCATGTTAAACCTGTACAAATGAAACAAGAAGACACTGTGTTATTCACAAAGCACACACAAAGGGTTAACTGCACCCTTAATTGTGCAGCAAAGCAAACAACGCCGGTGCTGTCTGCACATATTTACACGAGCCGTTAATGCCATGTCATCTGGGGCAAACTTTGACCCTATCTATACAAATATGAATCATTGCAAAAAGTAAACGTAATTCACAGTTAGAGTGAAAGCAGAGAGTTGGTGGTAACTGCGCCGCAATATTTACAAGGGATGGTCATGACAAAAATGACAACTTTGTACACGACCTCAAAATCAGGGCGGCTGCGGCTCAGTTGGTAGAGTCGGCCGTCTCTTAACAGGAAGGTCGAGGGTTCAATCCCCAGCTCCTGCAGCAACAGATCCGATGTGTCCTTGGGTAAGATACTTAACCTCAAATTGTATCTGCAGCGTATGAATTGGATTAGTTACTTCTGATGGTCACTTTACTCAGCATCCTCTACCATCAGGGTGTGAATGTGTAGGTGTGACCTGCAGTGTAAAAGCGCTTTGAGTTGTCAGAAGACTAGAACAGCGATATATACAAGCTCAAGTGCATTTACCATTTACCAAAAACATAGCTTTGAAATGAATCTTGTTTTTATAATCAAGGGTTAAATCCCTGCAGGGCCATCTAAGGTTAAACCTCCACAGCTCAGTTCACACTTTGAAATGTATGGAGCATGTGGGCCATTAGGATGGGGATGAATGTATTTTATTTATATGGATAAGCTGCCTTTACACACTCACTTTGTTTTTTTTTTTATCAACGATGAGAATTGCATCACATCTATTGAGTTTGGGTTCACAATAAACTTAAAAAAGTGGTGGTGAAGCAACGAACCACTTTATGAGCAGTTTTGCGCTTGTTTACGCTGAAGCACAGAATTCTTTGTGAGCTGGACCTTGAGCTGGAGCAGAAAGCGGCTGCCACTGATGCTCGATTTATGGCGAAAAACACCTGAGTAAAACTGCACATTTAGTTGATTAATCACTCATTAAATATGTTGCCAATACTTTTTATGAGAGTGACTAATCACTTAGACTAACATTTCTCATACACACACATGAACTCCCATCTTCTTATATGTGCACAGTTTGTGTGTATTTACATAAACTGGCATATGCAAGTATGAAAGTAAGCAGACACAAAAAGGCAAAGAAACACTCCCTCTCCATCTCTCTTCCCCATGCACACACACAAACACACACACAAACACAAACACACTCAGTTGAATTCGGTGACTGAGGTAGATTTGGCCGTGAGCCAGCGAGGTGCAGAGGTGATTGGGCAGCTTGGGGCTCTCTGACCATGTTTGCCAGTACATCTGGCTCGTTCTCTCTTCCTCTCACTCTCCTATCTCGCCCTCTCTCTCTCTCGCCTCTTCTCACTCGATTTCTCTTCCCCACTCACTCTCTCCTGTATCCACTGCCTGCTCATCTTCCTCTCTCTCTCTCTCTCTCTCTCTCTCTCTCTCTCTCTGTTCATGCTTTCTCTTCCTTCCCCATTCTGCTCCCCATCTGTCTCTCTCACTCGCTCCCTTTATCTCGCCCGCTCTTCTGTTCAGCTCTCCCCGCTCTTTCAACACACACTCTCTCTTTTTCTCTCCTTCTCTGAAAAGCTTAGCGTTTCTCTCTCTCTCTTTCTCTCTCTCTCTCTCTCTTTCCCTCCCTCCTTTTAAACAGCAAAAAGCAATTTCTCTCCCTTTGTCAGGGCGGTTGGCGGTAAGCCCTTAAGTAGGGATTTTCTGGTTTGGCTGGAATGCCATTAGGCGAGCTGGCGGTGACGTGCCGTGACTGACGTGCCGAATCTTTTTGATGTCGTGATGTCACAATCCAGCGGAGGCTGTGGTTATGATATTGTTGGCGTCCCTGGAATGAGGGGCTTTAGTGGTCATGTCAGGAGTAAGTCTTCATAAATCCTTTATGGCAGAAATATTAAGCTTCTTTGGTGGTACGGGGACAGAGGGGAAAACATGGTGAAACGTGCACACACACACACGTACAGAGAAAAGACTCCGTTATAAGCCACCCACGAGCAATGAACTGCACTAAAAAAAAAAAAAAACAGATTTAGATGCATCATCAGCGCTCAAAGAACGAGCTCATAATGAAATACAGACGCACAAAACTTACTGCAGACGTCAATAATGATCAAATCACTTTTTATAGACTTTTCAATTTGGACTGACGTGTAGTGACATCATCAGTGGGCTTCCTTTTTTCACTTTTTCTTTCATAGTTGTATACATCATTAATGTGTGCATATCCAAAACACAATAATTAATTGCAGAATATGTCTATGAAGTGAAGCATCATTTCTAACCGATCGGACCGGGATGTACATCTGAGTTTGTTAGCTTGATGCTAAAACATAGTGGAAGTTCACCTTGACAGGCTAACAGAATTAGCATTACGGTCGAGGTTCTTCTAATCTAAACTGTCAATTTTAATTTAATTTTAAGTAAAGAAGATTGTGCCCTAAGTGAAGAGGATGTTTCTTAGTTTCCAGTCATGTCTACAGTCAGTAGTGATACAGTTGTGTCATTGCTCAAAAGTCAGTGAATGAATGGAAGTGAAATGTAGGTTTGGATGCTTTAGTCCACCAACATTATGTGAAATTATTTGAATCATTTTCTCATCTTTATCGTATCAGAAAGGTAGGAGCCCATTGATACCAGCCATCCTCATGTTCATGTTAGATTGAATATTTAAAGGCCTGATACACCCACACAGGTGAGGGTGATCAGACCTCTTCTCAGGGATATATGTGTTGTTGTTTTCAACCTGTCCGGGGTTGTGTCTGAAATCACACATTTGTTCCCTACTCCGACTTTATAGTGCCCTCATTCAGCACAATAATAAAAAAAAAAAACATTTCCGACATGACTCGCCCACTCTCTGACTTTGACGTCATTACTGTCGCACAGCTAAAACATGCAGCTTAACCCCAGAAGAGGATCAATAATAATAGTAAATACAGTATGAATTTAACTGAGAACTAATGTTAAACTGAGTGTTTTTTTTGTTTTTTTTACAGACAGTTAAAAATAAGTAAAGTAAGCATCAAGTAATGCGGTTTTCATAATTAATGAAACATATTTTCACATCTAAACTTGTTTATACGTAATTACAGACTCTCGTCTTGTGCCTGTCATCATTTTAAGGAAAAAACTGACGTAACTCGGTTGAAAGTCCTGCTAGATTTCGGTTAAAATGCCTCCAAATATGAACTTTTTGTGCTTTTCGTGCTCCTCTCGTCGACCTGAGAGCCGTCAAACACCAATTTCCTCTCGTATAAATCTTTGAACCGCAATGCATGATGGTATATTTATTGCTAGGATAGGGACCATTGGTTGTGCACAACTTTTCACGATGCATTATGGGATACAGTGAGTGGACCATACAGGGTATGATAGTGCTCACTCAGAATTGGGACACACCCCTGGTCTTATCAGCAAGAGCCATTAAAACACCTGTGTGGGTGTAGGGGGGCTTTAAAGTATAACAGAGCAGTAACCATGATTTGAATGGTAATCATATTAAAGGTATTCTACAACTTTAAATCAAATCATCTCTATGTGTTACACTTCATCACTTCATGTACTCACAAACTGCCACGTTTGGAGTTTTTGCTGAAGTTAACTTTTGTGTGTTTTTTTCCGTACAGCACCCCCGAGATTTACACGAACCCCAGAAGACCAAACAGGAGTGCAGGGGGGAGTGGCCTCCTTTGTGTGCCAGGCCACAGGTGATCCACAGCCCAAGATCGTGTGGAACAAGAAAGGCAAGAAAGTCAGCAACCAGAGATTTGAGGTACGTTGCTGAGAAACTTGTGAAAGAAGTGTTGTTTTATGATTTTACCTGCTTCTTCTGCTGTGACTGAAATTGGGACGAGTTAGCGTCCCACAGAGCCACAACCTTGGCTCACTGCGTGCACACAGTAACACAATGGTGTCTTTTGTAGTTTATTTATTTATCTTTCCTACAGTGTATATTTTTTGACTTTGTAAACACAGCAACTCAGGAGTTGAACATGTCTGAAGAACTCAAATAAAGAGAGTTAGGATGCAACTTTTGTGATCATATTCATTTTTTAATGGGTTAGTATTTAGAAAAATGTGGTTCTTTGCTTTCTTATCTTGAGCTCCATCAGTACATCAGTGCAACTCCTGTCATCTGTCAATGAAATATTAAAGTGGAGCTGGAAGCTATTTAGCCTAGCCTAGCTTAAACAAGGGAAAACCGCTATCCAGGACTTGCCAGCAAGCATACCTAGCAATCAAGATAATGCTTGCTATGCCAAAAAGTATTTACATTTTCTGCAAGTTAGTGAAATAAAGACGTGCTGAAGGATGGGTTTTTTTTACTTTACAGAGACAGAGCCACATTAGCTGGAAATGCTAATCTTTTTGCCAAGCTAGCATCACCTGGCTGTAATGTTAGCTTAAATACACACTGATATGACGATGCTAAAAATCGAGTAACTCTCAAGAGAAAATGAGTAAGCCTGTTTCCATAAAATGTCAAAGTATTTCTTGAGGTAAACACAAATAGAAAATGTTACGCTGTGGTAGTTAGATAAACTATTCCAAGATATTCACTTGTTACCTGGGTAACTTTTTCAATTTCTGACGTTTTCTGGACCGAAGGTTGAAAGTCTTTATATGTGATTCTTCACACTTAAATATAATAGAAATCATGTATATCCTCTGAAAATAACTCTGTGAGTCATGACTGTCTACAATGGGTGTAACACCCGAGTCCCACTGTCTGTGATGTTTTCAGAGTTTTCAGAGTCCTATCTTCACTTTGTTTACATCGCCAGGACGGCCGGCTGACTCCTCCCCTCGTGTATAAAAGTTGTTTAATTGAGGGACTAGAGAAAAGAAGAATAACATACTGTACTCACTGCTTAACTGTGTTTCTAGATCACGCTCATTTCAGGTAAATTTACATGCAGTGTGAAGATACCAGCATAATAAAGATCGCTAGCATTAGCATGCTAACACAACAATGCAGCGAGAGTTGTTTTGGTTTCATGCTGGTGCTTAAGAGTGACACCTGCTGGATCAAAAACTTGCCTATAAAGCCTTTAAAGAATTATCAATAAATGAACAAATCATGAAAGTAACTCTTTGTTGAAGATTAAAATGGCGGCTACTGATAAGTTAGTCTGTTTACACGCACAGTACTTACACGTTTTATCTTTGTGTTCTTGTTGATGAGAAATGAGAGAGCCTACTGTGAGAGAGGTGTTATTCTGCTTTGGATTATCGTACCAAAAATTTAAATCTAAGACTATAGTAAACATAGAGTTTTGCTTTTCCCAATTATACTTTAATCAAATAAAATCCTTTTCTCTCTGAATACCTTAAAGTCATCAGTTCTAGTTTGTAAAGATGTTTGCTTTTTTTCAATTGCACTCCATATATCCTACATCTGTGAAATATCTCGACTCCCTCATATGTCAGATGATGCCTTGGGCTACAGTATATGAGATTCTCATATGATCGCCCTTATTAGTTTCCCATAGGCGCTAACCTTTGATTTATTTCCTCACCTCACCAGTCACTGCAAGCTGGAGATGTTGAACTAGCCTCTCCTCCTCCTGCTCCCCACTCAGTGTCACCTTGAGCTCTGGGTGCTTTTCCACTTTAATAAGTCGAGTTTCCTCCCAGGTTTAAGTTCATCTTGCTGTCTATGTGTTTGTGATTAAATCACTTGGGGAGATATTTTATTTTTAATCCACCCCTATATAAGCTTAGACATTCGGGAGTTGTTGTGGGATTTCTTTTTATTGGATTTCAGGCAGCAGAAACTTTCTCAGAATTCAGAAACCAGAAACGTTACCTTCACGTGTTCAACTTATGGAGCATTTAAAGAAGACGTCTCTCTGCAGGAAATCCTTAAAAATGAAGAGAACATGAGAGACACTTTCTGTCTGTATATTTAATGTTGAACTGTGTAACTTGAAATTGATTTTAATGTGTGCAGAGATGATGATCCTAGACTGCTGATCCAGGCATGCCATGTGGTGAAGGATGAACTTGATTTATGCTTTTATACCTGTCACCTCAGCTCACCTCATTTAAAAAACTAAGGGAAAGGCTTTTGAAAACATGTTTTATTGGCCTGTTTCTGGAGATTATCCCAGCTACTAATTTCTTTGTTGATTACATGCAATTATTAATTCAAATTGGTAGACTTGATTGAAGTTGAGAATGGAGAAAAAAGTCTGATTTGAGCACCATTCTTTTTTTTTTTCTATTAGGTGCAATAGAGTGTCAAACTGGTGACATATAAATAACAAATGAGGCACAACAAAACAAACAGACAAGGTCATGACAACAACTCCAAAATACAATAAAATAAAAAAGCACCATTTTTTATTGCAAGAAAGCGATCCTCTACTTGGTTTTAAAACGTATTCAATCATACAGTTTCCTTTGGCCAAAATATGATGCTGATGAGAGTCGTGCAAGTGATCCAAAACTGTGGAGTGTAAAGTCTTAAAACCAAAACAAAAGGCTCAAAGACACCATAAAGCTCCATTAGGCAGAGGGGGGTTTGTCACTCCAATCTCATAAAAACATAATTTTTTTTTTTCTCTCCCTCTCACAGGTAATAGAGTTTGACGACGGGTCCGGCTCGGTCCTGAGGATCCAGCCTCTGAGGACCCCGAGAGACGAGGCTATTTACGAATGTCACGCCTCCAACTCTGCGGGAGAGATCACGGCCTCCACCAGGCTGAGCGTGCTACGAGGTCAGTGTGAGAACACTTGAATGCTGTGCAAAGAAAAACATAAAAATCATGATAGCTGATCTCATGTCTGAAGCCCTTAAAGGGACGAAAATCTGGTAACTGAGGCAACTGGATTGTGTTGATTTTTCTTGTTACTTGAGAACTAGTCACGCAGGCAAGTTTGAGACCTGGAGGGATGCATCCTCAGAAGTAAATATAACCATGTACATATGTGCAAGTGTAAGCCTGGATCCGCTGCGGTGGACGGTTTTGTTTGCAGGAGTCCATTAATGCAGATAGTGATGTTAGTGTTAGTGGAGTCCATTAGGAGAACATTATGTACCGGTAGTTTGAAGCTCAAGAGTGTCTTAGTGAGTGAAACTGCTCGAGTGTGGATAATCACATCGCCTGCCTTTACATGCTCGTGGGGAAAGGACGAGCTGCCTATTGTTCTACCATCTCTTCTTCTCTCTCTCTCTCTCTCTCTCTCTCTCTCTCCTTATCCTCTCTGTATTTACCTCTGGTCTCAGAGGTAATAATAGAGTCTACACTTCTTCCTCTCCACTCTCTTCTCTTCTCTGTCTCTGTCTGTGTTTTCTTTTCTCTCTAACTTCATCCCTTATTACTTTCTCTTTCTTTCGCTCGCCCCCTTTCTCCCCCATCTTTTTTATACACTTTCCTCTCTCTCTCTCTCTCTCTCTCCCTCTTTCTCATTCTCTCCCTTTTTCTCTCCCGCCATATGCTCTTAGGTCCACCACACAGCAACCTCTAAATTATTCACATCAGACCACTCTTTGCATCTTCTCTGCTTTTCCGCTCCATCCGTCCAGATTTTTTTCCTGTCTCACATGGACGTCTTTGTGTGCACACATCTGTATGTGCTCTTGCTTGTGAGTTTCTGCATTTTATTTGTGTTTTATATTTTTTTTCCTGCACTCCCTTGATGGAGGCTATCTGCCCGTGTCTGATCTTTTATCTCTATCAAGAAGAAAGCCACTCATGCATGCACACATATGCACACGTATGCACACACACACAAACGTAGACCTGATCTGAGGCAGTCAGTCTTTATGTAGTGATTAGCCTCTTTTACTCCTCTGAGGAGTCATTGTGTTGGGGATGAATAAGAGGCCACCTGGGAGCAGCTAATAGCCTCTGATGGACTGACAGTCCAAATGTCAGGTACAACACACACACCTGCACACACACACACACACACAGCAGTGTCAGTCATGTGTCTCCCCTGGCTCTGAACAGACACAGCTCCACTCACTGACTGACTGACTGACTGACTGTCTGACAAGAGGGATCCGGTGTTAAGGTCAGCCGGCTTAATTACTGAGGATTAGTAGCAGGCTAATTGAAATCTCGGATTCCGGTGAATGGCTGTGATTGGCAATGTCTGAAATAATAATGAACCTGAGAGAGATGATATGCTTTAGGATCAGGTTTACAGTCAGTCGGGTACTGTATAATTCATGGTTTCATAAATGTTAAGTGTTTGTCTGGAGATGGTTCTGAATAAGTGTTGAACAAAAAAATGGAGATCATAAATTGGAAAGACAAAGTTTGGCCGAGGGTTGTTACCACACCAGAATTTCACATGATACAAGTAAAAAAAAATCAAACGATATTGTTGAAGAATTATGTAGAAACTTGAGAAGGATTCAGGAGACTCAGGTGGCTTAAGTTGAAGATGTTTGAATAAGACTCACGAGGAGAAATGACATCAACAACACATGTGTGGTAGAGTGACTTGCCAACCACCCCATAGGATGTGAATTTATCCTGAAGATGATGCTTCAGTCAGGGGCGTGTTACCCTACACCTACTCTACTTAAAACTTGACTGTGATGTCTAAGACGATTGGGAGCAGACACTAAACAATCCAGATGTTAGGGGAGACACTCTTCGACCTTGCTTGGCCTCGTCACAGCTCAATCCTATCAGCTATAAAATATCTCTGTGCATCTAAAGAGAATCTAAGGAGATACAGAAATTCCATCACAGATACCATGGCAACAAAAGTAGGAGTTCTAAGCATCTAATCCAGTTTTTATATATTCTGGGACTAAGAAGTCCAGTTATCTTAAAACATGAAAGTGAGTGCAGCAGAAATGGCGGCTGTGGCTCAGTGGTAGAGTCGTTCGTCTCTCAACTGGAAGGTCAGGGGTTCGTTCCCCGGCTCCTGCAGCCACACGTCTGATTTGTCCTTCGGCAAGACACTTAACCCCAAATTATGAATGTGTCAACGGGATTGTTAATGCTGGTGGTCACTTTACAAAGCAGACCCTACCATCAGTGTGTGAGTGTGTAGGTGTGACCTGGAGTGTACAAGACCTTTGAGTAGTCAGAAGACTAGAAAAGAAATATACAAGCTCAAGTCCATTTACCATGTGTGGTAGCTGGAAGTCTAAATTTTGGAAAACCTTTAACTCTAACTGTATTCTCCTACTTGTCATCATGTCATGAAGCAGAAACAAAACCAGCTGCTGCCTGACGAACCAAGCAAAATCCAAATCCGACACAGTCTTAACAAGTAACACTGCATGTAAAGCACAGTCCTTTTTTCATTGGATTGCAATAAATTTTGAAGTGTTAATTTTATTGCATCCATGACTTATGGTGTTATCCCCTGAGTCAGTGCTGAATGACATCAACAGGTTTGTGCAGATATTACTCTCAGGCTTCTGATTCAGCAGCCAGCTTCATGCTTTAGTTCCCCTCCATTGTGAGACCAGACTTGATTTGCAGCCTTCCAGACTCACAGATGACAAACCCAGCGAGCGATGTGTGTGTGTGTGTGTGTGTGTGTATGGATTTCATATTTGAGTCTTATATAAAGAGGACAGTGTGTTCGCACAGCCGGTTTCCCATGATTGTGGGAGTGGGCTTTTTCTATGAGCTGTGAAATTATGTGGATCTCTCGCTGGAAACAACGCTGGAGTGGGAGCACATCCAGATGAAAACCGTGGGATGTGTGGAAGGCTCCGTCAACAGGGGGAGTGTAGGGTTACGCATCTGCTCTGACCTCAGGGGCTACTTAACAGTGCTGCACACACACACACGCACACACACACACAGACAAGAGCATGAACACTCACTCGAGCAGCTTTGTCCCAACACTTTGGTGTTGCTTACATCTGTCCTTGTGATGGATGGCAAGAAGCTGGTTTTATGCATATGTTAACGTGTGTGTGTATTTGTGTGCACGTGTCTGCATGAATCGATCCCCATAAATAGACTTGAGATTTTTTCAAAACCAAGTAAACCTTCAAAGATGGCATGATAAAAGAAATACACACAATAATCATGTCAGAAAACCCTTAATGCTGACAATTTGCTGGCTTTGACCAACATTACACTCTGTTATCTATTCGCTGTGGGACAAAACAGGGATTCCTTGGCTTTTGCAGCCAGCCTCAAGTGGAGACTTGAGGAACTGCAGTTTTTTGCACTTGTATATTTGCTGCTTGGGATAGACATAGGACCAATTCTATCTCAACACTTTCCAATTCACACCTTGTCAGGATTTAATGTAAAAAAAAGAGCACAGCCTTTGATTTTGTCTGCACAGAGGGAAGTCCTGAAAGCATCCATAAGGATCCTTTTTATTGCCTGTTTGCAGGTACTTGCCCACATTCAGTATCCAAACTTTGTTTTTGGTGCAAGCAGGGGCGGTGAGTAAGAGAGAAGCCTGGTTGTCAGGGAGTGGATTTCTAACCGTGCGTCCTTAGTCTTCATAGCTGTGTCCCATTCCCAGGTAGATGAAATAGAATGCATTATTCCTGCCTACAAGGGGCTGACTTTGAAGTAATCGTTTGCATAATGAAAGCAGAGAGAATCCGGATTGTTATGCTGCATGGGTCCCCCGTGCTCTTGTTCCTTTTTTCGGGTCTGTTTTCTTTTCTCGCTCCGTTTTTTCCCGTCTCTGTTTCTGAACGGCATGCTTTCTTTGTCTTCACTCTATTCTACTCTATCCGATTCTACTCTGTCTTTTCTTAGCTTTTTGTGTCGTCAACTTTTTCCCTCTTCCACCACCACCAACCCCCTCGTCCGGGCAGACAGATCCGCACACACAAACACCTTCTCATCATGTTCTCTTGGTTTATCATATCCATGTTTCCATTTGTTGGGTGTTGTGATTGATTGAAACCGGAGCTGTTAAAAGGCCACACACGGACTCACAGAGCGATTGTCTCACGACCCGTCGGCTACGGTTCGATGGACTAGCACCGGAATTAGCATCTCCTTGGCGAGGTTCAGCGCTAGGATTTCCAGTTAATGAGCCTTCTGTGTGGTTGAGAGGGATACAGTCACAAGGGATTCAGGGTAAAAGAAAAATTAAAAATAGACTGCCTTCTAGATCAAATACAGTGTGAGCGTATGCAGGAACACTCATGTCTTTTTCTCAAACATGTCTATCTTTATCTCGTCTATTATAAATGACTCACGAAGCTGACATTTTACCTCGCAGTCTCAAAGTGTGACCATGAACAAAGTTAAGAGATCATTTCTTTAAAAACTGACTTTCTCTGAACTGGTTTAGTTCCAGTATTGAACACATAATCCTCTCTTTTTGAGTTAAAGAGTCCTTGACCCCCTGTCTCCTCCAAGCATCGTCTCCTCTTCTTCCTGAAAGCTTTCACTTTAGTTACAATAAGTTACCGTAAAATCTGGTACATAAGTCCCACCGATAAGTGTTTAAGGGGGTCCCAAACCCTGCGTGACGATCTCCAGTGCAATCAGTAAAGTCCACCATGCAGTTTCTGTGCAGCTGTGTAGTTCTTTCTCGCTATACCTGCCATGTTCAGTCTGTAATCCTGCTTGTTCCTGCTTGATACCACTCGACAATGTTCATGAATATTACAGTAAAGCACCGTTTTCTATAAATCCATGATTCTAAACACATTTTGGAGATAAGCTGGTAAAGAGTGGCACCTCCAGCCTGGTCCGCATCGCACAAAGTAGCTGCTAGCATTACACAATGAATAGGGGTGAATTTTTAATTGCGTCAGGTCGCATGGAGTGGGTGACGGTGACGGCTGAACTTGCAGTCTTAACGGCACATGTCTAAGCACTTCAAACGTGGTATACTGGTCCCATCGGTATATCGGACACAGCACAATTTTTAGGGCGAGATTCAGCACTAGGATTTGAAGTTAATTAGGTATTTAAAAAAGGTATTAGATACACCAAATCTTACGGTACTTCATCACAATGTAACAAATCTTTATAGCCTTGAATGTCTATAAGTTCATTTATGGTGTTTTCACACAAATACAATACTCTCCCTCTGAAAATTTTCCAAAAGTTTTTTGGGGTAAGCTTCATGCTGGCGGATTTTTTACCCAGACTTTACCTGGAATTATTCCTGCCAAGCCCCTAGTACATTTTTTTGGGGAAATATTCTCTGCAAGCAAGAGTCCAAGGGTGATGACATTTATATTGCAACTTTTTTTTGCTCGCAGGAATGCTACTTATACTCTTTTCTGCTTGCAAGTATGTTCTTTCCCGCAATACATACGGAAATACATTAAATTGCTCATTGCATTGATATAAAGGCAAAAGGTGCTTATGTCAGCCGCCAATTCAGGAAGATTTTATGCTCAGACTGTCTTGACATTTTCTAGAAATGTTCAGAAATGCATGTTAGATAAAGGCTTTAGATTTCAAAAAGGAGGTGCCACTTCCAACGGATGTCTCTGTATTTCAGCTTCCAGTGAGGGTTGTGTTCAGTGGACTAATCTGGACAGAGAGTGCAGCTCACCTTCTGCTGATTCTCAGGGGAATAGACAGTATTTGATTTCCAATGGATTCTTATTCACAGACCGGCGCTGAGGTAGTTTGTCATGTGGAATGAAATGTCATTTATTCTACTTGACCTCACTGTTGGATTCTTCAAAAATCTTGCCTGCAGGCTGCGGTCTGATGCCAAACATATTTGGGCTCTAAATTGATTCTAAATTTGACTTTTACGTCTGAACAGCCGCTTTTCCCTCGAGACCTCTTCATACTGGACTGGTGACTCAACCTTGTCGGTGTCAATTCAGGGCTTAAGATGTGTCTCTTCAAGTGAGAGACATTTTTTTCCACTTCCTATAAAACATGACTCAGATGGTGGCAAGATAAACACATATTTGCTTTCTTGCTTGGGAGTTCAGCACATTGTCTGGCACGCGCCACAATTAAATGAATAAAAGCTTTCACAAGGTTTGTATCACCAGACTCATTGAATAATTTTTTTTTAAAGTTCCAGCCATAGTTGGTATTGACCTAAATACCATTTGGTTTTGTCTGTTTTGTCAGTCACTGCGTGTTTAGCCTGCTGAACTCATTGCCCTGTCAATCTCAAAGATAGGGTTATACTAATCGCAAAAAGAGGAGGGGCCGATTGCTTGGAATATAGCTTAACTTTCCATTGGGGAAAACTGTCCTAAAAAGTAGAACAACTTATTCAAGCCATCCCAAAAACCAATCAAATAAAAAGAAGACAATCTGTTTACACTAATGAGATGAAGAGTTAGTATGTAAGAGATTTTTCTTTTCTTTTTTCAAACTGGTTTTGGCCATGACAGGTGATGCGGTTATGGCGTTTTCATTGAACAGCTTTGTGTGAAATCCCCCCGAGGATAAGCTTAAATATTATAATATCTGACATCAAGATACTGTCCTAGTTTGGCCTGCGGTGGAGGTATTTCCAACTAATCCTCCTACGAGTGGGTGTCCTGTGGGTTTACAATGAAATGACAATGAGAGAATACCAATGGATCCCAACCAGGGGTTCCCAAACACCATTTTTTTTATCCTGTTTAGGTAATGTAAACGACGCCTATTAATTCAAACCTCCAAAACATACTCCCTTCATAAAGGGAGAATATTTCTTTAACTTGAAACCATTGTATTGGCTAAAGCTGTATTGCTGAAGTTATATTAAAAACACCCCCCCCCATCACAGCCCTAAACAACGTACAAGTCCCGCCTCCAAAGTGACCATTGAATCAACACCTTTATAAAAAAACAGGTTCCGAATAGAAAACGTTCATGACTGTCGGGTGGTTGTAGTGGTAAGCTTCAGGATCATCTACGGGGTTTCTAAAGAAACGGATTACTTAAACTAGATTTGTATTACAAGGAAGATAAAGATACAAAAAGGATTACAGACTGGTTAATTCGTTGATCTGTATAATTTGTATTGCTTCTAAGAACAAACATCTTATATATGAACTGAATGCTGTGATGGGGATCTTCAAGAGAATTCAAAAACAGATACCTAGAAGTGCTAGATAAATGCTCAAAAGGCCAAGTTGCTGCTCTACAGGAAGTGAAACACTTTATTAACGCCAGAGAAAAAATGACATATCCAACGTCGACTTGTATGTATTTCATTTTTTTTTTTAAACAAAAAATTGGAAATCAAGCTGCAACTGCTGGTGCTTAGAAATGAAGCCAATGCAGAAGTCGAGTGTCCACTTGAGGTAAATCCCCATTGTTGAGGAAATGACAAAGACTTGACTTCACACAATAAGTCTCAGTTGACTCAGATGGCTTACGTTGATAAAAGTTTGTACATAAGATGAATACTCGAGGAGACATGGATCAACATCACACATTGTGTACTCATGTATTGCTCAACCACATCTGCAGAACTCTTCGAAAGGCATCGCATATATCCCCAAAAGACATAAAACCCATTGTGGTTGCCAGACTTCTTCGAGGGCTCATGTGGCAGCCGGGACCCACTGAGCTAAATATGTGTGAAACATCCTGCCCTGTGTTGACTCCTGTGTTTGATCTTTGCAGAGGACCAGCTGCCCTCGGGGTTCCCAACCATAGACATGGGTCCGCAGCTAAAGGTGGTGGAGCGTTCTCGGACCGCCACCATGCTTTGTGCTGCCAGCGGTAACCCCGACCCAGAAATAACCTGGTTCAAGGATTTCCTGCCGGTCAACACGTCCAACAACAACGGACGGATCAAGCAGCTCCGCTCAGGTAAAACATCTTTTGAATCCCTCCATTCCTTCCCCTCCGCTGAATCCCAGCTTTTTCGTTTTCCCCTCCCACTTGACTTTTATCCACTCTGCTTTCTCTTCCCCCCAAGCCGTTATTATTCTGAGTTCCTACAGAACGTCAGTTATTCTTGCCCTCGTTCACCCCTGTTTCTTACTGCTGTACCGCACTCCCTCAGCCGTGGTTACTGACTATGTTTCTCAGCTGCCCCCCCCAACTCCCTCTCTCTCTCTGTTGCTGCTGTGGTATGAGTTGACTGTGTGTGGTTGCCAACTTTTCCAAACTTCTCAAGGCCTTTAAACCCGTGAACCCCCCCCCCCCCCCGACTTCTTTCTCCGCCTTCTTCTTCAAACTCTCTGAGGTCTTCCCGTGCAAATCACCAACCCCGAAAGGTTTCACATTTTACTGAGTGAAGACGTTATGAAATATTCCTTACCGCACGCATTGGTGCGCAATACGTCTCCCGCTCAGATCATTTCTCTACTGACAAGATTTTTCTTGAGTTAAACCGAGGGGATGGTGGCATGCACTGTGTGGGAATGTCCTCTGTATGAAGGCTCACTGCTGTGACTAAATAACCAAATAACCACTCTTTGTTTCTTTTGTCATGGGACATGTGTCTTGTGTGGGTGTGAAAATGACTCACACACATGGTATCCATGTTATTTAAAGGGAGAAATTGTAAAATGTATGAAAATAGGGTTAATGACATTCCTGTCTAGTCCCTACATTTTCCTTGTTTAGCTCTTAAATAGCCACAGTAGTGTCCTCAGTCCTCCTTCTGCTTCCAGGGACTAACTCTGAACCCAAAATCCCTCCCTTGTGATTGAACACCAAACTTTCTTGCTTCTTTATGACTACAAACCTATATGCATCCAATTTATTTTTAAACTCTTGCTTCTTCCTTAAAAACCCTGCTCAAGATTCCCTTTTTTTTAACTTTAATTTACCTGAAAATTGAAAGAATTGATCAAATCGTTACAACTTCAAAAATGTTAAATCTTTGCTAAGTTAGACATGTCTTCACTGTAATGGTTACAAAAAAATACTTTGCCATGACTTTCATGCACAGAGCTCTGTATAGTCGATACATTTCCATGATTTTTCTTTGGGAGTTCCCGTGCTTTTTGTTTTTCTTTCAAGACTGTTTCTACTAAGTCAAGTCCTGTGTGTATCCAGTGGTCTGATTGTAATGCCATGTCTATGCTGTTTCTTTCTCTTTGTATCTTTTTAACCACAGAGTCCTTTGGTAAGTGCTTCTGTTCCGAGGTCCACACCCTCACTGTCCACTTTTTTCTACATACTGTTCACTAATGTTGCCACTGTCGCTGCTGCCGCTGCTTCTCACTTTTACAATGTCAAGGTGTTATTTAAATACATGGCATGCACTTTACTAACAGGCACACAGGAAAATGTAGACACATTAAGTAAACACTTTTCAAGTCTGCAGGCACGCATACATCACTTTGGTTAAAGACACATTTCACTAACACATAGATGTGCGCACACACACACACACACACACACAAACACTCACACAGATATATGTCACCCTAGAGGTAGCTGGCCTCACCCTCACCTGTGCACCTGCAGCCTTTCCACACCCAAACAACTACAATAACTCTGTCCTCACACTCGCCTCTTTACGTTTCCCAATCCTTCACTTATTTACTTACTCTCTCTCTCTCTCTCCCTCACTCACTCACTCACTCACTCACTCACTCACCCAATCTGTCATTCACTGACCCTGATCCACTCTGCTGTATACAGTTTCCAGTCAATAAGCTGTCCACTCTAGATGAGTGTTCGGTGAGGCCCTATGGTGGAGCCACTGGGAGGAAATCAATGGGCGGCAGGGTCCCAGACTTAGAGATGGTGATTGTACATGATAGTATGTGCACGCCTAAAGCTGTTACTGCTGAGCTGGTTATTCATCCAGCTGTTTCAAACATTATCAAAGTCAGTCAAGATGAGTAGTTAAAGAAAAACCCACCCGTCAAAAATGTCCCACTGTTAGCTTATATGCTAGCTTGTTTGATGTTTAGTTTCCTAGAATGATTTTAGATAAATGTAGACATCTTATCCTGGTTTTACATTTGTGCAAGGTGTGACTCAGTTTTTGTCAAGATGCAACCTCCGGTCTTGAAAAATGAAGCCAAAATGTGGAAGTGCCAAATCCTGCAGTTCTTCGAGTGTCCACTAGAGGCTGGCTAAAGTCACACACACACAACAGGCAAAGCAGCATAAATAAACATGTTTACAGCCTGGTACAAAAAACAAGTCCATAGAGCTCAAAATAACCACACAAGATAACAAATGAGCAAGCACTCTGCAATAGTGGCGTAATATTGGTGGACCAGTGTGTGAATTCACACAGAAGGTGTGCTTCACATTCACACACACACTCGAACATGAACACACACACACAGCTGTTCCGCCTTGTCGGCTCAGACGTTACACATCACCACGGTCTTCTCCTCATTACAGGAAAGTTAAAACATCCACACGGGAGCTCTGATAAAATAAGCTATTAATCAAGAAGTGATCCATCAGATAAATCAGTTCTAAAATGATTTTGATGCAGGCCTACACCTTGATACAGTCGTCATCTCTGCACGTTGTGTCTGGTCTGTTGAAGCTGTTACTTCTCTTCTCCACTGCTTTTCTCATAGTTTAAAGGTTGGTGATCTTTGTAGGGTATAAAGTCTTCACAGATAACCCTTCTCTCAGCGTGCTCAGAGGCTGAGACATGAACCTGACATCCACCGCTGATGTTTCAAATTGCTGAAAGTATCCCTGCTGTCAGACTCGGTTTGGAGCCGCGCTCGAAGTATTTTGACTCCGTGTCCATTTATCCACTTATGTGGGAGATTTATAAAAAAGAAAATACAACTGCAAACACTAAAAAAGAAAATCAATACACGAAGGATTTCAGCACAATAGCGTTTGTGTGAGGAGAGTTTAGTATCGACGGGTGGATTTTTCTTGCAGGAACAAAATATGGCAACAGGGCAGATTACTCACAGGATTACACCTTGATTTGAGAGCAGGTTGAGAATTAAGGCCAGTTAAGTGTACTTAGGGAGCCAGATGAGTTAAAGTGCAGACACTATCGTTCTCCTACAGCCACATCTGCCCCCTCTGCAAGTCAATGAAAGTCAAATCAATAACCCCTCTCCTTAAAGCTCTGTCACTGTCTGTCTCTCTCTCTCTCTCTCTCTCTCTCTCTCTCTCTCTCTCTCTCTCCTCGGGCTTATTCTGTCTTTATTTATTCTGTCTTCCTCTCTGATGCCTCTCTCTTCCTCTCATTCTCTAAGGATCTATATTTGAGTCTTTTTTCTCTCTAATTTGATTCTTCTCCTCCAATAAGATACTCCCCCCCCCCCCCAAAAAAAAAAGAAAACCCTCCCTACTCCCTCCCTCCCTCCCTCCCTGATCCCCCTTGCCCTCCTTCTGTGGTACTAACATTTTCTTCTTCTTCTCCTTCTCTAATCTCGTGCATTCATTGCCCACTCAGGTGGCACGCCCATACGAGGTAAGACCGCTGGGAGGACCAACATGACACAGTGGCCTGATTCCTCTTCAACCCCTGGTTCCTACTTGTCTCACAGATCTGAAAATACAAAAGCTCTGGGTGGATTAATCAATGTGGGTTTAGTCCAAAAAGACTCAGGACTCGGCCATATTGGTTTTTTTACTCATCCTGCTGTTTCAGATCGGCAGTAGGTGCAGGAGGAGGGAATTGGAATTGAGCAAATTCATTAAACTTGACTTTTAATCACCTCCCCCTCTTCCCGTCTTTCATCCTCTCATCCGTCCATCTCAGCCTCTACGTTCACTCTGTAACTCAGAGACCCATCGCTTCCTTCCTCGCCATCTTGTGATCTCTCCTTTGTGCCCATTAGTTTAACTTCATTTAGCTTTTTAACATTTGAATTTGATTTCCGTCTAAAGCATGATGTGTTTACAATATTGATTTATATCTTATTTATTTTGAGGTATCTGGTTGTTGTTTTTTTTATACTGGATTTTATTTGACTTTTTGTTTGTATTCTTTTTTTAAATCGAGGGTGGGGGGGGTCTTGACCTAAGCTTGACCCGGCCTCTCCCTCTATCTTGTCTGTTTTTGCCCAATCAAACGTCCCAGTTTTGCTTTCCCCTCCCAGCTGTTATTCGCTCGGCCTGAAAAGTCCAGATGGCCAAGACACACGCACAAACACTAGTGTGCTCAAACACACATACACACACACACACACACACACATATATATATATATATATACACACACGTGTCCTCATGGTTTTTTTTTTACCATCACTCTCTCTTTTCTCTCTCATTACCGATAAAAAGCCCCAAACAACCACTTTTTTGATAAAGTTTTTATGGGCGCTTTTTTGCCTTTACCACCCCCATCTTTAAAAAAAAAAAAAAAAAAAAAAAAAACTCTGGTTGACTTTTTGACCGTTTTTCTACTTTCAGGGAGCGAGAAAGCGTCGGTCCCTTCCCAAGGCTTTGCGTATGTCGTTCCTTTTTTTTTTTTTTGTAATCTGTTGACCCTGATGGAGGTCGGTCGATGTCTGTACCTCCTCACTGGGTGTGTTTTACAAAAAAAAAATGACATCACACTCCTGATCCCATTGGTGGATCCGAAAAAAAGTGGGGTTGGGGATATTTTATTGCCATGGCAATGATCTCTGTAACCTTTTATCCTTGAATCTTTCAACATGAATTGCTCCCTAATGTAACACAGCATCTTAAATTTCAGCACGGAGTTGAAAACTCAAAACACAAGAGTTTGTGAGCGGATCTCTCCACGCTTTGAGCTGCTTGTTTTGACTTGTCTCTGCCTTGCATGAAGACGACGATCTCTGTTTTTGTAGGCTTTGTTTCAGTGCTTCTTCTTTTTTTTTTTTCCCCCCTTTTCTCCTCATTTCTAAATCAGGAAGCTGACCCGTGTTTTGGGCAGATTCTTGCTGACAGTGGTAGAAACTTGTTCATATATGTCCCAATAGACTTGGCGCCCTTTTAAGCCCCCGTGTTCCACAAACAGAGTTCAGCTTGTTTTTGCTGAAACAATGAGTCCCTCAGACTCATTTATGCAGCTCTTCCCATTATTTATGTTGTGTTTACTTATCTGTATTTTTTAGATTATACTCGATTATTCAGTGTCTTTCCACATGGATGTAATGGCTCTTTCTTCCTCACTATCTTTCTGTGTGACTCCCTCTCCTCCTCCTCTATCTTCTTCTCCTTCTTCTTCTTCTTCTTCTCTCTTCCCTCCGTCCTCACAGGTGCCCTCCAGATAGAGATGAGCGAGGAGTCGGACCAGGGGAAATACGAGTGTGTTGCCACCAACAGCGATGGGACGCGTTATTCCACACCGGCCAACCTCTACGTCCGAGGTAAGAGGGGGATAAAAACAACAAAAGCACTTTCGAGTCAGATTAGAGCGTTTACTTTAAAGCATACAGTGTTATAGTGGAGTCACCAAACCTCGAGTCCGAGTCAAATTCAAGTCCGGTACCCATTACACGAGTCTGAGTCTTTAAAGTTGAGTCTGAGCCGTTCCAAGAGGAGCTTCAGTTCTCCCCTTAGCACATTTATTTATTTATTATATTAACGTGAATGCTACTTAGCTTAGCATTAGCTCTCTGTTAGTCTCCATGTTTATACTATACTTCGGCCTTACAGGGTGTGATATTGTTATAACTGTAGAATTATGCTGGACGACCCTGAGGAAGCTACAGGTTAAAAAAAACACAATAAAATACAGTAAAGTTATTTTCGGTGTGCCATGGATTATTGATTTATTTTTTATGGTATGTTCTTGTAACCTGAGAACGTTTAGGCTGTGCACCGGGTACAGTGTTAATCATTTAGATTAAACTGTGGAATGATGTTGAGCTGTGCATGCTTTCCAAGTGATCTTTATTGTATTGATGTCTTCTTCAACTGTTGGCTTTCAAAGATCATACAAGCTTTGTCCACGTGTGCAGGGGAAACTCTCCACAGAGGAATCATAAAGTCTGAGCTCCTATAATAACATTTTGAACACCCCGGCTCGGAGGTCGTGGGGCCGCAGCCTAACAACCCCCGAGTACTCCTCTTTAACTCCAAACCGTTTCCCCGTATGAAACCTCACCTGACTGTTTCGGGCCCTTTTAATGACGTGTAGAAAAAAAAAACATGTTTCATTTATTAACATTTAGGTTCTGACTGATCCTGTTGGCGTGTCGGGAGGTTTTAAATTATAAATGAAATGTCGGCGCTGTGCGTGACGATCAAATGCACACCGGCCCCCTCTCTGTGGGGAGATGCACTGATGGTTTCTGCCACGTTGAGTTCACTGCAGGTGTCTGATAGACTTAAAAAATACCTGCAGCCCGCTTACTATTATTCAGATTCTTTTTCAAAGTAAGCGTTTTGGGCCATTTCTGGCTTTTATTGGATTGGACAGCTGAAGAGAGACAGGACAAAAATCATTAGGACATTATTCAAATCACTCTCTGAAGTCCCAGTCCTCCTCTCCATCTTATGAGTCTTAATGCATTAAATTATTGAGTCCAAGTCGAGTCCATGTTCTGACATTCTGGACTCAAGTCGTGGACTGCAGAACGACAACAGTGTAGTATCAGATTGAAAATGGGGATTGCAGATTGGGACATCTACTCCCTGAAGAAATTCATACTTTTTTTTTTATCCGTCATATAAATGTGATACAACGCTTTTTTCTCACACGATGCTGTGTTTTATGACTCTTCTCTGTAGAGCTTTAAGACAGAGAGCTTCAGAAAAAAAAAAAAAAAAAGGCCGGGGTCGAGTGTTTTCACTCAGGCCGTTAATCTCTCTGCCCTCCTCTCTTAGCCTCATGACCTCAGAGGAAGAAAAAAAACACGAATCATTGTCTGCTTAAGACTTGTGTTTTTGTCCACCAAAGTCTGACAGGCATCACCCGCCCTCGGGGGGGGGGGGTGCGTCTCCTTCGCACCCACTAACCAACAAAATTTCGACGCTCCACATGTTTGAATCTGAGAGACGTTTTCATTTCCCGTGGCCTTTCGCTCCGTTGTCTGCCCCGCGCGAAAAAAACAAATAAATATATCTAAAAAAAATAATAATTTAAAAAAACAGACAAGCGTGCTCTTTCTGAGTCCGACATCGCTCAGAGGGATTCAAAAACAAACACGCATGGAAGCACACACACATGTCCTAAACTAGATTTATAAATATATAAGATCTCACACACACACACACACACACACACACACACTCACACGCACACATACATACGGCAGCGAGGCAGTGATGTGCGTCTAACAGCGCTTGCAGGGCCAGTAAAACATTGCAGCGCTGCTCAGTGAGTGTTTGACAGGAGGTCTGTGGAGACAGCCGTCAGAAGAGGCTGCCTAAAAAAAAAAAAACAGGAAGGCTTTCAGCATCACACTGTCCTTCTATTGCCTCTCTCTGCTCTCCTCATCGCTCTCTTCCTTTCTCTCTTCAGATTCCGCCTCACTCTGTTGCCACCTTGCCATGCTCTTTTGTCTAACTTGTTTTCTCTCTCTGTGTCTCCTGTCTCTTCTTTTTGGTATTTCCCCTCTCTTTTTTTTCTCTTCTTCCTCCTCCTCCTCCTCCTCCTCCTCCTCCCGCCGTGGTCTGTCCTTCCCTCCCTCTGCAGAGCTGCGAGAAGGTTGGTACAGTAACGACTGTGTGGCTCCTTTTGAGTCTCTCCCGAGTATTTTCTTTTCTTCCATTAAACTGCCATTTGTGTTTGTGTGTCTGGGCCTCTTTTTATGTGCAGTACTGAAGGTTTAAAACCTACCTTTACAGTTTTACTCCTTTGAGATATCCTGTACACCGCCGTCTCCTCCGTTTCCCTTTGAGTGCACGAGTGTGTGTGTGTGTGTGTGTGTGTGTGTGCTGTGAGTTTTTTTTTATTGTGAGTATCTTTTGTGTTTCAGCTCATGAAATATTTAATGGAAGCACACCTAAAAACATCATGAATAAAACATGTAGATATCACATGCGCCCTGGTGGTGATGTAGCAGACTGTTTGAATGTTTGCAGTCCCCTTTGAATGCCTTCAAAAAAAAAAAACTCCATCTTAAAGCACAAAGAACTAAAAAAAAAAACATTTTAACACACATCAGACCCTGATTGTCGTTTGTTCTGAACTCTGCAGATTTAAAAAAAAAAAAAAAAAACACCCAGTCATGATTTTCTAATCGCCTCTCATTGCTGTCTGGTCGCAGTGCGCCGCGTCCCCCCTCGCTTCTCCATCCCGCCGGCCGACAGCGAGATCATGCCAGGGGGCAACGTCAACATCACCTGCGTGGCGGTGGGCTCCCCGATGCCCTACGTGAAGTGGATGCTGGGAGCCGAGGACCTGACGCCCGAGGACGACATGCCCATCGGCCGCAACGTCCTGGAGCTGACTGACGTGCGGCAGTCCAACAACTACACCTGTGTCGCCATGTCAACGCTGGGCGTGATCGAGGCGGTGTCGCAGATCATCGTGAAAGGTTTGTGTGTGTCTCATGTTTTATGAGGAGGAGAGCATGAGTGAAGAGAAGACACTGAGGAGGGTTCCATGAAAACCCGGTTTCAAAAACACTTTGAATAGTCGTGTTTTTTTGGGGTTTTTTTTTTTTTTCTCTGGACTTGAAAATAGAATTAAAATCACAGACGATTTATGAGAAGTAATATCCTCCTCTGGCTCCAAAACACTCTGCGAACAAACGGAAGTTTTCATAACGTTGTTGCTCTTCTTTTCGGGAGGCACGGCTTTTTAAAACATGTAAATTATTCATCTGGCACAGTCTGGAACATTCACATTAAAAACCTCCCTGTGATACCGCGGCCATAATTAAGAGGAAAAAAATAAAAAATGAAACAGAAGTAATTCCAAACTTTTTGAACTGTTGTGAGGAGAAATAAAGTAACATTTGATCAAATTTGTTACGTTTGATGAAATCTTAAATTTCATTAATTACGGTCAACTTGAAATCGTCTTTGAGGGGATTATTATGATGATGATTAATTTGAGTTTATTTGTTTATTCATTTATTAGGCAGATTTTTTCTTTTTCATTCAGCCCTGTTACTTCAAAAAAAAAATGATATTCATTTTATGCTTTGAGTTTTAAGATAACTCCTTTAAAAGTACAGATATTTGATCTCTCGCTCTTTCTCACTCTCTCTCTCTCTCTTTCTCTCTCTCTCTCAGCTTTGCCAAAGGCTCCTGGCAGCCCTGTGGTGACAGAGAGAACTGCAACAAGCATCACACTCACCTGGGATTCAGGCAACCCCGAGCCGGTCTCCTACTACATCATACAGGTGGGGGTCGCACACAGAAACCCTTTAAAAACACGGGACTGTAAGGATGTGAGACGCTGCTGTAGATTTCTGTTTGGATGTAAACGGATATCAGCAGCTTAACATTAAAAATAATGCAGAAAACAAAATCTTTATCTCACCTGAAGGTTTGAACGATGTCAAGATGCTTTAATGAAATAATGCCTTGTTGTATTTTTTCTGCAGTTAAGTGAAAAAACATTTAAATGTTAAGAATGAATCACAAACAGCTGAACTGAAGCGACTGATGTCGTTCAGAAAAAGCTGCACACCTACATTAGATTTTTACAAAGTTTGGTTTTCACCTTTGCTGGTTGTCATGGTGATGATTTGTGCTTTTTCTTGGTGTCACACAGCTACCATTATTTAAAACTATAAAAGTACAGCATAAGGTAGCTTTTCCTTTGTTCCACTCTAAATCTTCTGATCTCTTCCCTCATCTTCTCTTGCGTCCTTCAGCACCGTGCCAAAGGGTCCGAGGACCCCTACAAAGAGATCGACGGCATCGCCACGACGCGCTACAGCGTGGGCGGCCTCAGCCCGTACTCCCACTACGACTTCCGGGTGGCAGCCGTTAACACCATCGGCCAGGGCCCCTCCAGTGATGTGGTGGAGGCTCGCACGGCTGAGCAGGCCCCCTCCTCTCCCCCTCGACAGGTACGGGTACCGAACCTGGTTCGAAGCTGAAGTCTGTCTCTCTGACGACAAACTGTGATCTGAATCCATTATTTAAGTTTCTCTGAGAATAACTTCTCCTCAGACTCGGTTGTCACAGAGTGATACAACAGATGTGTCCGTGTGCAATATTTAGATTCTAGTCTCAAGTTGTCTTTAGTTCTTAACAACAACTGAACTTTATTTAGCAAAACTTGCCCAACAAAGCACATTTGATGTCACTTAATTACATAGCTGTGTTATATCCTTGATTCTGATTGGCCAATCACGCTATCTCTTTATGGCACACCACTGTTAACAGTATGACAAACAACCCGTTACTATGAAGAGCAGACGGTTGCTAGGGACACTAGCTCTAATCACAGACTCTGGGGGACTTACTAAAATGATATCAATCCACTGAAAGAAGTCCGGGTAATTTGACCTTAGTCTGGTCACTGTGAGGAAAAAGAGAAGAGCGGTAAAAGCAGAAGTGAAAAGAGTTTTTAAGATGTGAAATCTGAAGGTGGCACATGAAGTAAACATGTAACAAGACATGAGGTCAGGAGAGTGTTTTCAAGACTGGTGAATGGTGAAGAAAATGTCAACTTAATCAGTGGGGTGTCCAGAGGGGAGGCCAGGGGTGGCATGGACCCCCCCCTTAAAGTCCTTAACCCTAATTGGCTATTAGGGTTTCATGCAAACTTGAACTGGTAATGTTTGAAACAAAGCCACTCATGTATGTATTTTTGAAAGTTCGGATTTTTGGGGTGACACTTGAGGGAGCCAATCATATTTCAAGAGGGGCCCATGCCACCCCAAAAAATCCTACGCCCTAATTGGCTATTTGCCCTGTCAGAGGCGGGACTTATGTTAAAAGCGACCATTAAGGCTTTTTTTTATAAAATGCTGCTAGTAGTTTTTTTTTTTATAGATCAGTGCAGCATAGTTTGTGCTTATAATTGTAAATAAATACTTTGCACATTTATTTCATTAAACAGACTCAAAGGAAAGTAATGAACATTGTCTAACTTGCAAAATGACATTAACATTTGAGGTTTGCATGCAACTTTTGAAGTACTGAAATTGTGACTTTGAACGTACATCTTTCTTTGTGTGCCATTAAAGGAAAAAGCTAAGAATATATATCTATATCTATATAAATTATATGTTGCCATATCTTGTGTTATAAGGTCGATATGATTGGTGAAGTTAGTTAGTTATATTTATCAGTGTGTGGATGTTTGTGTATGCCCACACATCACACTTCAGGCTACCCCTGCATAAGTCAAAGCCCCAGTTGGGCCACCCTTCTTCGTCTCGCTTCACCATCAGCGGAAATGTGATTCATATCAGCGAGGTTAGCTCTAACTGTAGATTCCAACAGAGTATTTGTTTAGCTGTAGAAATACATCATTGTCAAATCAATAATATAATCTAAAAATCAATGTTTTCTGGCATATTATTGATTTCTTAAGTGGCCATTTAGGAAACCGATATACTATAACTTGTCACCCTGTTGCTATAACAACCAGATCACTACACATTATCCCTCTCGCGGTGTTGGTGATAATCGTTCTGTGTTGTCTGCAGGTGAGAGGTCGCATGCTCAGCACCACAACAGCAATCATCCACTGGGATGAACCCGAGGAGCCGAACGGACAGGTGGTGGGCTACAGAGTCTACTACACCTCAGACAACACGCTGCCAGTCAACCAGGTGTGTGTGTCTGCAATGTGTTTGTCTTGCTTTTAAATCCAGCCGTGACTCACTCTAATCACTCCCGACTTGGGTTGTCTGCATTTAGTCAGATATACAAGTGTGCATCTGTGCGTCTGCTTTGATTCACACATGGTGTGTCGGGTGCTCGTGTTGTGCAGTGGGAGAAGCAGATGGTGCGCAGCGCCAACTTCATCACCATCCAGAGTTTGACTCCCAACAAGACTTATTACATCCGAGTGCTGGCCTTCACCTCTGTGGGAGACGGGCCGCTGTCCCAGGACCTGCAGATCATCGCCAAGACCGGAGGTAAGAGAGGGAGTCTGAACATGTACACACACAAATCTGAGCAAGAGTATTCTTCTCATTTCTCCTCAAAAAACTTAAAACAATTTATACAATCCATAATGATCTGACAAGTCCAAATACACATCTTATTTCAAGATATTAGAAGCAGAAAAAAAAGGCATACATTGCTCAGAAGCTGCCAATTCAGCAAGTCAAACTTAAAGCTCGGTAGCTTTTTTGATTAATTACACGCAAGCATGCTTTGTTTTTTACTTTTTATTTCTAGAAATAGTTTATTTGCACTTGTCCGGTGAATGTGGCTTACATTTAGTACATTGAGGTCTTTGTTTAGTGTAAATTAGACAAGTACGCCTGCTAAGATTTGAGTTTTAAGCCAGAATTATAAAAAGGAAAATATCTTGACTTGATTTGAATCATCTTTTTGTTTCCTCATCTCCGTAGTTCCATCACAGCCTTCAGAATTTAAGGGTGAGGCCAAGTCTGAGACCAGTATCCTGCTGTCCTGGGTAGCCCCGCCCCAGGGTGGTCCCGATAACCAGATCACAGGATATGAGCTGGTCTACCGACGGGCCGATGACACAGAGGAGGTATCCGTTGCTCTCTAAAGCGTTTGTTCACACATGAACTCCTGAAGATTTCACAGGATGGGGACAGGATGTTGCTGAAAGCTGATTTAGTTTTTCACACATCCACCTCACAGCAGAGACTGTCCCTGTCAGATGGGGGGCAGGAGGGGGGAAGGGGGGGGGGTGGTTCTCAGGAGGTAAGGTATGACATAAATCATGCAGAAATGATACAAGTACGCTGGCAGGAAAATGTCCCAGTTAAGTCAGAATGAAACGATCTGTCATTTGGGTTCACGCATACATCTTTGACTTTGACCTCATATAAGCCTTTTAGGTGTCTTTTCTTTTTTTTAACAGTTAAAACATCCTCTTCTGTTCTGGTCTTTATGTTCACCTGACGTCTGACTGTCTTCATGTTCCCCCGCAGAAGAAAGTGAGCTTCGAGCCGACCGCCTCCTACCTGCTGAAGAACCTGAAGCCCTTCTCCTCCTACACCTTCCAGCTGGCCGCAAAGAGCAAGCACGGCATCGGGGCGTATACTAACGAAGTGTCCATCGACACGCCGCAGACGCGTAGGTCCAACCACAACAAAAAAAAAAACAGTGATGTGTGTGAATGTGCGCGAGTGTGCTTGACAAAGAGAAAGAGAAACAATACAGTTTTGACAATGCAGAAATGAGGATGAACCACAAATAGATAGAAGCTAAATCTAATCTGAGCATCATGTATTTGTGAGTATTGTTTCTTAAAGACATTTGGCATCTGAGGCGCCGGTAGCCTAGTGGTTAGTGCGCGCCCCATGTGCGGTGGCTACAGCCTTCCAAGCGGGCAGCCCCGGGTTTGAATCCGACCTGTGGCTACTTTCCCCACGCTCTCTCTCTCTAAGATATTTGTTGGGGCCTTTTTGCCTTCACTAGATAGGAACAGCTGAAGAGAGACAGGAAATGCTCGGAGCAGAGAGCTAGGGGAGGTCATGCAGCAAAGGGGCCAAGGTCGGATTTGAACCCACTGCTGCTGTGCTGAGGACTATTGCCTCCATACATGCTGCACGCGTCATGACCGCTAAGCTATCTGCGCCCATCTCCCACCAATTTCTCACTCTATCCATTCTCCTATCTCTTAAATGAAGGCATAAAAAAGACATTTGGCATCCTCTGCTTTTTCTGCATTGTCACAAACGCTGTTTGAATCCAGACCTCAGATTGGATACTTCCACAATATTTCACAAAACTTAACGCTACAAATGCTATTTGAATCAACCGTATGAAACTAAAACTGATCTGAGGTCTGTAAGAGAGTGAGTAAAAGAAGGTAAGAGGTCAGAGGTTGTGTAGATAGAGGTGAGCGCTCCGTCATGGATCACAGAGGCTTTGGTAGGCTGTCAGGACGAGAAGTTATGGGCAGGTATGTTTGTGTGTTAACTCCGCAGTCAGTCTTTTTTGTGTTGTGCATCTTTTTGAAGTCATTCACGCCGTTTCCATCGATCAAAACATTTCTACCAAAACACAAGTTGACACGCCCATCATTCAGTATCTTTGGTTGGCCATCTTGCTTTCTTGACACACATTTTTTTTCTCCAGTGTTTTGTTTTCATTTTATGTTTCTTTGTCTTTTGTTCTCTGTCTCTCGTCTACTCAACGTCATCCCCCATTCCTTCACGGCAAAAACCTCACCTCTCCACCCACCGATAACAACATGCACACACGACCAAAATTACATGTTTATCACCCAAAACAACCCCCCCACCCCACCCCACCCCTCCCCCCTCCCCACTCCTCCTCCAACAAACTGGCCCCAAAAAAACAAATCAGTTCCTGCAGCGCCTCCCCAGGACATCACATGCACCAGCCCCAGTTCTACCAGCATCCTGGTAAGTTGGGCTCCACCTCCTCTGGAGTTTCAGAACGGCGTCATTACGGGATACTCCATCCAGTACTCCACCACCGAGGGCAACAAGTCGTCCAAAAGGATCGACGGAATATCCCCGGAAAGCTCTCCGTACGTCCTGGAGAACCTTGAGAAATGGACTGAGTACGGCGTAACGGTGCGGGCTCAGACAGAAGCCGGGGACGGACCGGAAAGCTTACAGCTGCTTATCCGCACTGAGGAAGATGGTATGTTCCAAAAAAAAGCAAACCCTCCCCTCCCACTCCCTCTCTACCTGTCATAGCGTGATCCGCCTCACTAACAACGGCTCCCCTCGATAACATGGCGCCTAAAGGCTCAAAGCACCCTTAACTAACAACAGGGGGTCTCCCGCTGGCCTGCGAAGGCTTCAATCCATTTTAAGAGCCGCTCTCAGACCCTCCGCTTTTTGAAAAACCAACTCTGTTATTCCTCCATAACCGCCACAAACCTCTAACATCCGGAAACCTCCTCCTGCTGCTCCCTCACCACCGCTTCCTCGCATCAACGGCAAACCCCTTTTTTTTGTCCAGCCGACACTTGAATCCTCTTTTTTTTTACCAGAATTGTTTTTTCCACACTTTTTCCTTTTTCTTCTACTTTTTTACGATTAGGGGTCGTTGGTTTTCCTCTATTTTTTTCCACTAACCAGCACCAAAACAAAACCCTTTTTTCCATGGCTGTACCTTGGCTCTTCCACACCTTGGCTTTGACCCCCTTCTGAACCTCTCCTCAGTTCTAAGACAATTGTTTTATCATCTTTGAAGTAGCCTTATTTCATGTGTTTGTTATCTTTAATATTTAAACCAATATTAATGCCTTACATCCAATATGTATGTGGCTCCAGCTTTCTTTAAAGTGCTCACATATGGGATAGTCAGATAGCAAAAGGTGACTGAAGTTTTTTTCTTAGTATTTTTTATTTTTTTTTGGAGCAGTGTAGTTTTTGGCAGGACGAGAGCCGTTTTTCCTGATAACAGTATTTTCTCTTTGACTGCCTGCCTGCCACTGTTTATCTGCCCATGGCAACAAATCCTTTTCTATCTACCATTCTTATCTTCCTCTACATTTGCTTCTTATCCTCCACTGCTTTTTTACTCCATGTTTTTTCCTCAAGCACTCATTTTTTTTTTTACTATTTTGAATTTTGTCCCAGACATCAGAGCAGCTTTAGACTTTTTGGAGGGTTGTATTTTTTATTTTTTTTTAAATTTTTTGCAGCCTCTGGGTATTTTTTTTTATCAGCCCCTGAAACTGCTTTATATTTTTGATAAGGAAAAAAAAAAAAAAGTTGTTTCGCGTTGACTTGAGAGGTTTTGAGCGTGCATCATCTGTGACTCTTGACCCTCTATCCCAAAATGCATGTTGTAGTTCCAAGCGGCCCTCCTCGAGGGGTGGAGGCAGAGACTGTGAACGCCTCGGCCGTTAGGGTGAAATGGCGAGCGCCCGCCCCCGAAAAGCAACACGGTCAGATCCGAGGCTACCAAGTCCACTATATGAGGATGAACTACGGAGAGCCGCAGGGTCAGCCCTTCATCAAGGACATCCTCATTGAGGACACTCAGGTAACACAAAATCTAAGGAACTGTTTCTATACGTCTGATAAAAATCAGATTTTACTTCTTTTTCTCGCTATTTTACATTTTGAGCATCTTGAAGTTTCTCTCTAGCTAAAAAAATACATGATGATGAATCTGTTGATACTGATGCATCCATGGGGACTAAAGAACAGTGCTTTGACTCGTGTGACTATTGAGTGTAAATATTAAAACCTTTATTTTTCTGTTTTATTTCCTCTTTTCTCCACACGTTTCACCGTTCAGTGGGAAAACGATGACTCAACAGAATACGTGAGTACACCCTCCTTTCAGTCTCATATTTCATCCTAATAATCACACAGAGAGTAGACGAGTCATGTTCATGAAATCGCAGCTCTTAAATCTCCCATGACCAGGCCGATGGTTTTTATACCACAGAGATAAGCGATCATATGAGTCATAATGGGGTATTGGCAAAGGTTTGACGATTGTTTTTGATTTCTTTGAGCCAAGAAGTTAAGAAAGTATTGTGTTTAGTCTTATGAGACAAGGCTTAATGAGTTTTTCGTGTCTGGATAGATGTTTTTGTTGTCACACATTGTCAGCTCTTTGGAGATAATTGGATGTAGTTGCTTTGAAATTCGTAGTTTTAAGATGATCACAAATTATGTCTCATGCTTCACTTCACAAAGCAGTCCTCAGAATATTGTTCCTGCGCCGGCTGAAATATGTTGTTGTAGAGACAGACTGAGTAATTGTCTCCACTTTACCAGACAGAAAGCACAGGATTGCACCTTTGATCCCCGAGGCTGCACCTTTTTAGACCAGTTTTGACCGGTCTGACCCAGACCTTCTTTTTTTTTTATCAAATTGAAGGACTGCTCATTGTCCTGAGGGTACACAGGAGTAGCTTCCTTCTGCAGCTGATGGTGTTTTGTTTTGTTTTTTGTTGTTGTTCTGCAGGATGTGGTTCTTGGAGATCTGAAGGCAGACACATCTTACTCTGTGTCAGTGGGGGCTTACACCGCTAAAGGTGATGGGGCTCGCAGCAAACCGGTTTCTGCCTGTACAGCCATGCCATGTAAGTGTCTCCTCAGACTTTTTAACCTACATACAGAAAGACAAAAAGCTACAAACACACACAAAAACAAGCACAATATGATGTACAGAGCGTTTTTTTTTTGGTACGTGGAATGTCTGCAAATTTAGATTTGGTGTTTTCAAGAGAAGATAATTAAATCAGTCATCAGCAAGTGTTAAGCTAAAACGAAGTAATAATAAATTAATACAAGAACGAATGAGGCCATTGTCCGTGCAGCCAATGAGACGTGAAGATTTATTTTAATTTGCAGCATCAGTTAATGTCTGATCAAATCTGCAAAGTCTGTTTTTTATCTATAAAGAAAATTCATTCCAAAAAATTCAACTTCATCAACTTAAAGCACCTATGAGGAGTTTTTAGCTGGTGATGAAAAAGACTGAGATGAATATTAATGCCTCTATATGAGCTAAAAAAGCAAACAAGTCCATCACCGACAAGGTTGATAAAGTCTATGTAGTCATTTTTAATAGTCGTAAAAGCGCTGTCAGGGGGTAGGAGTGAGATAACGCCCACTGCACAAACACAATTAGACTTTTATTTCACAAACTCCACAGCAAAACATTCACAGTGAGTGACACATTTGACTTTTTAAAACAATAAACACACAATTTGCACATGTACAGGGCATTATCTGAAAAGAGAGGATAGGTACTGTTTTGACCACAGGGGGCGCCAAAATCAACACAAAACTTAAAGTTCCTCACTGGAGCTTTAATTTCAGTTTCAACAGTTCATGCACACTTTAACACCGTAAACTCATAAAAATAACAAAGTTGCAACAAACAAAACAAAGGGCTCCCAAAGCAAGCAACAGCATTAAACCCTTTTGTAGTACAACAGTCAGACCGAATTATCCCACTATCATCATGCCCACATAGTAAGGAGCTCTAAAACCATTGATGTTGTATATGATGCACTCTTTCAGACCTTAAAATAATTTATCACATTGTCCTGTTTCGTTTGAGACTTTGAGACATAATGTGCTCTACAGATATCCCCAAAAGATCTTTTCATGACTCTGTCTCACGCCTGTTTTCTCTTTTGACTTTTTTTTTTTTAGTGCCTGAGAAGCCCAAACTGATGGTCAGTGCCACTGATTCAAGCACTGCTCTGCTTCAATGGTACCCACCACAAAACCCGCCCACCCCTCTCCTGGGGTACCGCCTCACCTTCGGCCGTGTCGACGTCCTCCCCTTTACGGTTGTTGAGTTCCCCACCAAGGAGAACCGCTACACCGCCCAGGACATCCACAAGGGAGCCGACTATGTGTTCAGACTCTCCGCCCGGAACAAAATGGGCTACGGAGAGGAGGCGGTGAAGGAAGTGACTACTCCAGAAGACGCCCCGAGTGGATACCCTGAGAATATAATCTCTCAGGAGGCCTCTGCCACCACTCTGCGTCTGGAATGGAAATCAGTGCCGCTAATTGAGCAAAATGGGAAAATTGTGAAGTACTCGGTGCTGTACAAGGATATAAACAGCCGAGGGAACGCCTCAGAAGTCGTTGTGCCCGCTCCGGGGTCGAGCGTTTTGTTGGAGGGTCTGAGTGCCGATACTGTGTATGATGTCAGGTTGTGCGCGTTCACGTCTGTAGGCCCCGGGCCGTACAGCCCCGGCGTCCAGTGTAGGACGCAGCGGCTGGATCAAGGTAGGACTCATACTCGCTTTTCTAACAACCCCGTCCTCATTCCTCAGGATGCAGCACACGCTTCCTAACAGCACATTCCCACATGCATACAGAGAGTCATTCACACAACATCCTAAGTGTCCTTTTTTCGTTGTCTTGTCACTGTAGTCTTAGATCCTACGTCCTTTTCCCAAAACAAGGTAAGAGTCTTTGGGTCTTGGGGCGTGATCCCTGTCCTGTAACACTCACTGTGCGTGTTGACCAGTTAGCAGTTAGCTAGCTTGAGACTGGTACTAGAGAAATGTCCCCAGGTAAGGTCATTACTTTTGGATCAGTCGAGGATTTGGTAAGACGCAAAAGCATATTTTTTTTGTTTATTGTTGTTTGTTGTTGTTGTGTTTTTCCACCCTAGTTTTTGCTGCAAACTTCCGAGTCAAGGCTTCCATGAAGAACTCTGTTCTGCTGTCCTGGGAGATCCGAGACAAGAACCCCGCCCAGCCGTTCACCGTGAGTTTATTTACATTTTATTAGATGTAAATGCAGTCGGATAAAACAGGATGGGTCTCATATGATGTTCAAAGAAACACAGGCAGGGTGCAAATAAAGGTTTGGGGAGGGGGGGGGGGAAATGAAACTACCTGTTCAACAATGACTCACAGTGTGGATTCAGCAAGATTTATTTTAATGTTAAGAACTTTGGTTGTCTAGATTTGCTTGTGTTTGGTTGCCTTTAAGAATGTCAACCCTGGGGCGCTGGTGTCGCAATGGTTAGTGTGCGCGCCCCATGTATGTAGGCTTCGGTCCTCCAAGCAGGCGGCCCAGGTTCGAATCCCACCTGTGGCTCCTTTCCCGCACAAAAAGCCCAAGCATAAATTAAAAAAAAAAAAAAAAAAAAGAATGTCAACCCTTAGGGCCTAGTGGCTAGTGGTCTTCCAAGTGGGCGGCCCGGGTTCAAGTCCAACCCTTTCCTGCATGTCATTCCCCACTCTCTCTCTCTCTCCCTGATTTCCTCCTCTGTCTTATTTAATGTCTAAATGAAGGCATTCAAAAAAATATAAATAAATCTTAGGAGAAATACATTTTTTCAATTCTTCCGGTTAGATGATTTTGAAATCCTTGTGGGCATATTTGGCAACTTGAACAGCTGAAGGTCTTTCAATAAGAAAGAGATGGAGGGATTTTTAAGAATTATTCGAGAACTAACAAGATGTGTTGTCCATTTTATGCCATACACAATTTAACTTGAGTCTATTTCACCAACCCTTTGTCCAGATCCTGTATGGGAAGGGCCAGTCTGTTGAAGTGGATGGGAAGCTGACTCAGAAGCTGATCACTGGTTTGGAGCCGGACACCCAGTACTCCTTTCTGCTCACCAATCGAGCCAACAGCGCCGGGGGTCTGCAGCACCGCGTCACCGCCACCACCGCCCCCGACATCCTCAAAACCAAACCCACTGTGGTGGGAAAGACCAACGCAGACGGCATGGTGACTGTGCAGCTTCCGACGGTGCAGACGACAGCCAAAGTCAGGTAGTGATCATGAACCACTTACAGAGAATGATTTCTAGATGTGAGCGTTTGTGCAAATCACCCTGTGCAGAATTTGCTCCAATTAGGATGTTTTCAAACGATGCTGTGAGGTAATTTTCCCATCTTCCTCCTGCTGCTGCTGCTTTTCATTTATTGGTCTATCAGCTGGGATTTCTCCAACTCGCTTTGCTGCCAACATCGGAGAACTCCCACAACAGGCCAAATGAAACACAAAGCTGATAATCTCATCAGCTTTTTTGTTACCAAGAACAAATACAGATGCCAAGAAGAAGTAGTCCCTCAGCCTTAACAGTACAACCTGATCCATTAACTGCTACTTACATGTTGTCACGACTGTTTGTTCCTGTCACTTCAGAATACATTCGATTCATTTCACAGGACTTTAGTCTTTAATTGAAATAAGACAAAGTACTTTTTCCCATTTGGTCACACTGTTACAAGACCGTGGAAGCATTTTTTCATGCTTTACACTGATAGAGATGTCTCCTTCTCTTCCCTCTCTAAAATGCAAAACCAACATTTATATCATTTCATATAACTCGACATCAGAGCTGTAGCAAATACCCAGTTTCTCCCATTGACAGAAATAACTCTCTACTGTATGACTTGTCACAGCATGTGTGTGTGTGTGTGTGTGTGTGTGCGCGCTTCAGTGATGAATGATGCACTGAAATGAGTCATCTATTGAGGACACATGGACGGTTTTGGCGTGCATGCACTCAGTGCTTATAGTCTGACTCCTGGAAAATTCCCTTCATCTGATGATTTAGCTTCTGTTTCACACTCTTCAGACAAGGCCCGTTCCAACTGCAGCAAATGATACACGCTCCATCTTTAAAGTAGAAAAATATAGGGAACAGTTGGACATAAAGGGACATATCTTATTTAATGGCCCATGCTAAGAGTTAGGTAAGAAGATCAAAAACATGTTCATGCATTTTATACGGTTTTAAAGCTCCTGTGAGGAACTTTCCCTGTGTCGAATTTGGCGCCCCCTGTGGACAAAGCAGTACGTCTCATTTCTCTGCTGATTTTGTCCTGTAAATGTGTAGGTATTATTTAAACCAAAAAACTCATCCAAAAGGAACTCTGTCTGACACCTATACATACATACATTTTAAAGGTTTATTTTTGGGAGCTTTTTATGCCTTTATTGTATATATAGGACAGTGGATAGAGACAGAAATCGGGAGAGAGAGAGAGGGGAATGACATGCGAGAGGTCGGATTCTAGTCTGGTCTGCCGGCTTGAAGGACTATAGCTTCCGTCAACCCCTAAGCTACAGGCACCCCCTTTATAGAAATGAACCTTGTGGCTACTCTTTTCCTTTTGCGGGTCAAAAGAAGTCCACACAATTAATTTCCGTCTGTTTTTCTAACCAGCTAAAAACTCCTCAAAGTAGCTTTAAAATATAAAATAAAGGAAACCGTGTTTTTCTTTGTATGTGTTCATAACTAAAAAAAAAACTTTGGTTTAAAGTCAGAAAATCTGCCCACGAGCACCTCCTTTAATTATTGAATTAAAGCTCAATAATTAAACAGCTGAACTAAAGTAACTAAACAAAACAGATATTATATATGAATAAGTCAGCAGAACTTGTTAGCCTTATAACCATGCTAGCAGTGTCCTTATGCTTAGGTAAATGCATTCATGCTTGATGTTGAGTCAAGTAGTTTAACTTAGTTTTGTTCCCTTTTGTGTTTTTAACTCCTCAAACTTTAAAAGGAGTTAGGGTCTTAAATGAAAAGGAAAGCTTTATCTCTGTTTCTATCAGTTCTTTTAAGCCTCCTCCGTCCAGTGCTGCCCTCTGTCTTTAAATCTGGCAATGATTAAAGCTAGCCAATCAGATGTATTTGTCAAACATCATGATATAAAAGGTGCTTCTTGGTGTGTTTCAGGGGTTACTATGTGGTGGTGGTGCCTCTGAAGAAACAGAGAGGAGGGAAGTTCCTGAATCCCTGGGAGGAGCCTGACCAGATGAACATGGATGAGGTGAGACATGCAGCTGACAGGAGATGAATCCAGTCAGAGGTTAATGAAGGACTCAACAACAAGCTTTTTATATCATCCATCCATCATCCATCCATCATATATCTATCTATCATCCATCCATCCTTCCATTTACCATCAATCCATCCTTCAATCATCCATCCATCCTTCCATCTACAATCCATCTATATATCTATCTATCCATCCATTCATTTATCATACATCCATCCTTCAATCATCCATCCATCCATCCATCCATCCATCTACAATCTATCTATATATCCATCCATCAATCCATCCTTCAATCATCCATCCATCCATCTACAATCTATCTATATATCCATCCATCAATCCATCCTTCAATCATCCATCCATCCATCTACAATCTATCTATATATCCATCCATCCAGCCATCATCCATCCATTAATTAACCATCCATCCATCCTTCAATCATCCATCTATCCATCCATCCATCCATCCTTCCAATTACAATCCATCCATCCATCTTCCAATTACAATCCATCCATCATCCATCATCCATCCATCCATTTACCATCAACCCATCCTTCAATCATCCATCCATCCATCCTTCCATCTACAATCCATCTATATATCTATCTATCCATCATCCATCCATCCATTTACCATAAACCCATCCTTCAAACATCTATCCATCCATCCTTCCATCTACAATCCATCTATATATCTATCCATCCATCAACTATCCATCCATTCATCCTTCCATTTACCATCCACCCATACTTCAATCATCCATCTATCCATTTACCATCCATCCATCCCTAATCATCCATCCATCCATTTACCATCCACCCATACTTCAATCATCCATCCATCCATTTACCATCCATCCATCCCTAATCATCCATCCATCCATCCATCCATCCTTCCATTTACAACCTTCAATCCATCATATATCCATCCATCAATCCACTCACCTATCCATCCATCCTTTCATCCATCCGTGTATCATACATTCATTTTTTGTCACATAACTGCCCTTGTCACAGACTATCATAGTGCTTTGTGAAATGAGTCTTAATGTAATTCAAAAGTCAAACAATAGTGCTTAGTCTACTGACAGGGTTTTTTTTCTCTCCATGGTATCAGACCTTTTGTATTTTGTTAAACAAAGGTGAATGACCTTGTCATCCATTGCCTGTTCAATCCAACAATACTTTTCCCGTAACATTTCCCGTTTGATTCCACTCCTTGCATTTTTCCAAAGACTTCATCACCTCATTACGCCGTCCTGAAAGCCCATTCATGTGTATGAGATCGGTTTCAATAGAGGTTTTATGGGGCCCACTGTCTCAATGGATAAATGACTTAGCAATTCAGTTGATGATGAAGACATTTGTGCTCAGGTGATAATGCTCTTTACAGCCCATTATTCCTTCTCTGATGAGGGTTTTTGTGTGGGGGAAAGACTGCGAAAACTCCTTTCCCTCCCCGTGTTTTCATTAAACTTGGGTATACAGCTCCGGATATGAGGGATATGGTTTTTTTTGTTGGAGGGGAAAATGTTATTAAAGTTACAGAAAGATGGCTCCATTGATTTTTCTTGTTGATTTGTAGCGTGACTGGCCTTTGATGCTGCACTTTGTTTGAACTTGGCATTTATCACATGAAAATTACAACCGTTTGATGCCTTTTAGTCCCCCGTTTCTCCTGCCTCTCATCTTTTCTGTCAATCTCTTTGCTCTTTTCTCGATGAACTCCCCCCTCCCCCTCCTTCCCCTCCTCCCTCTCCTCTGTTTATCTACCCATGCACCGTCTTTCTTCCTTTTCAGCTCCTGAAAGAGATCAACAGGACCAGCATCAGTCGTGCCCTCCGCATCCGCAGACAGGCCGGCCAATCAGATCCAAGAGCCTACGTCAGTGCCCACTTTAAGACCCTCCCCCTGGAGTTCACGCTGGGCGACGGTCGGAACTACGGTGACTTCCGCAACCGTCCGCTACAGAACGGACAGGAGTATGTTTTCTTTGTGCTCGCGCTGCTCGACCTCTCTGAGAATGTGAGTATAAAAACACAGACACACAAAGTTCAACCTTCTAAATACAGTTTTGCTCATAGACTGTATAAAGAATGGACAGCACGAGGGCTCCTGACAAGTGAAGCCAAAAGATTTAGAGCTCTCCTTGTTGACTGGCCCCTGTTAAGCTCCTAAACCCCGCCTCCTCCATGTTAACAAGTGGAATATGAGGCAAACTAAAAAGTTGACATTAAAGTTTACGTTTCGGTGAAGTTTAGTTTTAATTCGTTATTTGATGTGAAATGATTGACAGCTCTGTTGGCAAATGCAGCTCTTGCAGCGTTATTTACCAGATTTGCAGAGTAGATGAACAGCTGTCTCCTTCAAAGCGCTGTAGACTGTGTTGCTTTATTGAAGTGCAATATTTCAGTGCAGTTTGTTTTTTGTTATTTTGGCTTCAGTTTTGTACAATGAAAGAACATGGAGATGTGTTGTCCATATTTTTATACAGTCTTGGTTTGAACTAATTCATGTCAAAATGAATACAACCATATCTTGCAGACTATGTTCGCCACCAGCCCGTACTCTGATCCCGTGACATCATCCGATGTGGATCCTCAGCCAATCGTGGACGAGGAGGAGGGTCTGTTGTGGGTGGTGGGGCCCGTGCTGGCCGTCATCTTCATCGTCTGCATCGTCATCGCCATTCTGCTCTTCAAGAGGTGAGGACAGCGGGGGTTTAATCCAGGATGAGACGGTCTTTGTGTGATTTACTGGATTGATGTGAAACTGAGGGAAGAAATCAGGAAGACAGGATGAGGGATTAGAGAGACGACAGTTTTGGTGTAAACAAACGTCTTCACATAAGGACAACAGAAACTCAAACAGGGTTTACTTCATTTTATTTTCATTGTAGCCTGTTGTGTCTTTGTGTAATTTACTCAAAATATTTTTGGTCAAATACAATTTTGATATAATCCTACCTTGAAGTTCAGGTAGTTCAGGTATGGCCAACTTTGCTTACCAAGAGGGTCTTTTATTCCCGCTGCCAGAGGGACAGCAGTAGCTCAATCTGTAGGGACCACAGGGTCGCTGGTTCAAGTCCTGGTGCGGACCACGCCTGGAAATTGGTCTGGTAGCTGGAGAGGTGCCAGTTCACTTCCTGAGCACTGCTGAGGTGCACTTGAGCAAGGCACTGAACCCCCACCACCACCAGCATGTAAAATTGAATTTCCCTAAGCAGGATAAATAAAGTATTCCTTCTTCTTCTTCTTCTTCTTCTTCTTCTTCTTCTTCTTCTTCTTCTTCTTCTTCTTCTTCTTCTTCAGAGGGCCAAATAGTTACAAATTCATTTTTTAACCAATGTCCTCAACAACTCAAAACCAGGCCGAGGTCGAGCACAGCCGGTTTATTCAGTTACCTTTTCTGTACTTACGAAACATAAAGAACTACAAATCTATTACACTCATCCCATCTGAGTCCAGCTCTCAAGATCTCAAGTGTTTTGTCTTGTCCCTGTTCTTTAAAACCATTACACAGGTGGTAAAGTTGGCCGACGTGACAGATTTGGGGAGACGACATTACCTGCCATTAGCATCATTCATGATAATCATCTCGTCTTCTGGCTAAAGCTTTGTTAATGCACAGGAGGAAATAATCACTGCGACTGATGCGGCATTGAAAAATGATTAACCTTGGCGGTAATAATCTAAAGTTAATACACCCTGGAGTGTAACCTGTTGGGGGGATTCACAGCCATTACCGTCCCGCTCACGACTTAAGACCGCGCTAGGTTCAATATATTTCTGTGATGTTATCATATTATAGAAGTCACAGTTAGAGGGTGTTTTGGGAGATAACATCCTGGGTGAATGAGTTTTGACGATTTGGATTAACACCGGCTGATTATCTTTGCATCCATAGATGATGCTTTTTCACCTGCCGAGCATCGTAACAAGAAGAAACGTATTAGCTTTAATGAGAGGGATAGAATAATGAGTCCTGCTCTGCTTCAGTCCCTGCTGTTTGTGGAATGGACACTAATGATATTCTTCTTCTCTTATCATTCTTTCATCTGCTCCCTCTCCGTCGTTTGGATCCAGCAAACCTGACAGGTAAACAAACACTTCTTATCCTCGTTTCCTCTGTCCTACTGAAACATTCAGATAGTAGACGCCGGTAGAGTCAGGGTCACTGCGATGTTTTTTTGGTGACTACATAGGAACCAGTGTTGAAAACTGAAGCCAATGCAGATGTTTAAAAAAAAAAAAAAACTGCAGTTCCTTCAGTGTCCACTTGTGGCTGGATGCAAAAGCCATGAAATTCCCATTTGGTCCTATATTAAAAATGCCTGATTGCACACAGACATAAACATGTTTACAGCCTGGTTCAAGCAAGGAATTTAGACTTAATAGTTAATGGCACCCCTGGCAACCCTCTCTAGATTCTGTACAGATAGATTTCTATTCTCTGATTTTTTTAATACTTTATACAAATTTAAACACAAATCGCGGTCATGATTAAGAGCAGTAATCTGCACACTTTCATCCTTGTTTCATGTACATGCTGTGTGTTTCTGTCTGTGTGAGGGCGGCTTATTGCAGCAAAGCCATGTCGTCCCATCATCCCACTGATACCAGAATCAAGAAACTCCAGGTAACCACACACACACACACACACACACACACACACACACACACACACACACACACACACACACACACACACACACACACACACACACACACTCCTGTAGACAAACACGCACAGACTGTGTGTCAGTCAAAATGTGAAGTCAGTAGTATCAGTTTTGTTGATAAGATTAACCCTGCTGTTGTTTCCTTTTCCAGCGTATCGTGTGTCAGTGTACCGCGGTTATCGGCGCTTGTCAAGTTAGTTGGTCTTAGTCCGCCACAGATCCTCTCCTCCTCTCTGCTGTCGCTCTTCTGCAACATTCATTTTCTTTCTTTCTTTCTCTCTGTCTCTCCTTCCCTCCTTCCTTTTTTCTTTCTTTCTCTTTTTTCTTTATTTCGATCTCTCCTTCCTTCCTTCCTTCTTTCTTTTTTCTTCACTTCGGCCTCTCCTTCCTTCCTTCTTTCCTTCCTTCCTTCTTTCTTTCCCTCTTTCTTTCTTTCTTTTTTTCTTTACTTCGGTCTCTCCTTCCCTCCTTCCTTCTTTCTTTCTGTCTCTCTGTCTTTCTTTCTTTCTCTCTTTTTTCTTTACTTCAGTCCCTCCTTCTTTCCTTCCTTCCTTCCTTCCTTGCTTCTTTCTTTCTCTCTTTTTTTCTTTTTTTCCATCTCTCCTTCCTTCCTTCCTTGTTTCTTTTTTCTTTACTTCAGTCTCTCATTCCTTCCTTCCTTCCTTCCTTCCTTCCTTCTTTCTGTCTCTGTCGTTCCCTCTTTCTTTCTTTCTCTCTTTCTTCTTTACTTCGGTCTCTCCTTCCTTCCTTCCTTCCTTCCTTCCTTCCTTCCTTCTTTCTTTCTCTCTTTTTTCTTTTTTCCATCTCTCCTTCCTTCCTTCCTTGTTTCTTTTTTCTTTACTTCAGTCTCTCATTCCTTCCTTCCTTCCTTCCTTCTTTCTGTCTCTGTCGTTCCCTCTTTCTTTCTTTCTCTCTTTCTTCTTTACTTCGGTCTCTCCTTCCTTCCTTCCTTCCTTCTTTCTTTCTCTTTGCCGTTGTCACGCTAACTAACCTTCCATCCCACATAGGATGAAGCTGCTTCAACCAACATCTCATCAAAATGTCTTTTTGGAGTACTTCTTGAAGACGTCCCAAAATTCTTTTCATCATCCTAAATTTTTAACCGCCTGTGTCATGTTCTTTTTTTATCGTCCCCGGCAGTGTGCATACACTCTGAGGACATGTCCCTGTGCCTCAGTAACTTCCCCAACACGCACATTGTTCTTTCTCTCTGCCTGGAGAGAAAATGGTCACTTAACAATCAAAAAAAAAAGAGAAACGCTTCCATTTGCTTCCTCCGCTGACTCTGGACAGAACGCTAAACAACACCTCCTCTGAGAATCCTTTCTCTTAACATTTTCCTCTGAAAGACTTTAGCCGCACACGTATCCAAATTGCCTTTTTTTTCCTTCTTCTTTTTTCTGTGCTCTGCAGGCATGGCGAGTCACCCGCCCATCCCCATCTCCGAGATGGCAGATCACATCGAGCGCCTCAAGGCGAACGACAATCTCAAGTTTTCTCAAGAGTACGAGGTAGGAATGCCGATTATCTGCCCCTGAAAATCTTTAACTCGGGAAATTCGGCTGGTTTTGTTCGATGCACACACACACATATTTATCGGTGACTCCACATATTTTTGCTCAGTTTCAATTTCAGTATTGAGCGCTGTAGATTGAGCCCCACATACAGAGCCTCTACAGCCGCATTTTGATAAAGATAAAAGCTCCATTTTCCTCTCCCTGCTGTCTTGTTGTTATCTATACAAATATAACGGGGGGGAAATTGAAATTGCAAGCTCAAAGAGGGTTTGCTTACAGCCAGATGGTTATCAGGCCCTCATTTCTACGCTCTGGTGGAGAGAGGGGAGAGACAGAGATAGAAATAAAGAGGCAGTGACCGAGAGCAGTCGCACTCAGAGATACAGGGCGCAAAAAAAAAAGAAGAAGCTTCTTGATTAGTTTCCACCAACTTGCAGCACAAAAAAAAAGGGAGCATTTACTCCGAGATAACAATGTGCATGAACTTGGTGTGGTGAACTGTTGCGCCTAATAGGACAACACATCAGTAAAAAATATTTCCCAGCATGCTGGCTGTGAAGCAAATAGCGCACGCATTACATTGAGCTCCACAGAGAGCTATTAAAGGGGTAAAAATGTTTTCTTTTCCTTTATAAAAAAACAAAAAAAAGAGAGGCAGTTTAGACCGACGGGCACTGGTTGAAGAAGGAGACATGAGGCTCTAATTGGCTACCACAAGAGAGAGAGAGAGAGAGAGACAAATTGTCTGCGACAGAGATACGCACACACAACAAGGGACGCATTATGCAAAGAGTAGAAAAACAGAGCGGGAGAAAAAAAAAGCGTCGGGGGAGAAGGATGGAGATGGAGAGACGGTTGAGGGAGAAGCCGTACGTGTAATTGTGGTGCGAGCTTGAACCTCTCTCTCTGTGTGTTGAGCCTCACATTCTCTCTGCATGACTGTGCGCTTTGTTCGCTAGTGAACCTTTAACGAGGGGACGAGAGAGATGGATGGAGGAGGGAGCGAGAGAGAGGCCAGAAATGATTGCGGTGTAATAATCAGGCACACATGATGCTGGGCAGCGTGTGGAAAGCAGCCTCCAACACACACACACACACACACACACACATGCACACATCCAGTACCACTCCTGTCCATTCCCCCCCCCCCTAACCAAACCATAATTATGTGTCGTAAAATATTCAGAATTGCTAAATTGCTCTGGCTCTCTCCTCCTCGTCCCTCTCCATCGACAGCCTCATAATGACCTCATGTCTGCCTCTCCCAGCTAACAGCGGTGGTTACACTGTAATTACCCTCCAGGAACTTAATGTGTTGGTCTAACACAACCATCCTCTCTCTCTCTCAGAGGAATTTATTGTGCTTTTATCATCTTTCTGTAGCAGCTCTCCGGGTCGGGAGTATTGTCTTAGAAGGTGGAAAGCCCCTACATCATTGTTGTTTCTTGAAATGAGATATTGTGTTTGTGGAAAAAAAGTTCAATACGAGCTTGTTGAATTGCAATTTGTATTTGGTTGCTTGTGGTGTGGCAAGACTTGGCTTTAGATTTTTATAAGATGGGAGAGGGGCAGATGGGTTAAGATGCAGGAAGAAAGATAGGGACAAACGAGGCGGGGGAGGGGCGTCCACCAATGATCCCAAATATTACTGACATGCTACACAGGGTCGTCACAATACCAGATTTTTAAACTTTGATACGGCTGAAGTAAAGATTTTAACGATATCAGTATCTGTTTTGTTACCGTGGCAACAACAAAGAGACGTCATAGGCACTCAATTTGTGGTGATTTCTTGTTTTTAATGAGCAAAAAAATGCAGGCAAACTCCTGCTCACTGCTCACAAGTGCACAAATTCATTTTCTGAACTTAAAAACGTTGCCAGAGCACACAGTTATCTCAGAATCACTGGAGGCAGCCATTATTAAAAATAGGACCGAAGATGTGAAACCTTTTTAAAGATTGGGTACTTTGCTACTGTGGATCATTATATTTATTTTTATTGAAGATAAAGAGAGATTGTATCGTTTGGAAAGTCATGCAATTGACCACCTTGGCTCATGCTGGTGGGAGCGTCAAACCTCAGGCATTGAAACCTTAAAGGACCCCGTGAGGAGCCATTGTGACGATTTGGCGCCCCGTGTGGACAAACTAGTATCTTATCTCTTTGCTGTGTTTGTCCTGTACATGTGTAGGGAGTGTTTGATGAGAAAACTGTAACCAACAGTCAGATTTATAACTCGTTTGTAAATGTTTACAGTGAAGAAATCTGGAAAAAAAAAAGTGATTTTCCTTAAGCACTGATTTTCTTCTCATCTGACACTTACTTGGCAGTGGGCGTTAAAAATGACTACATAGAAAAAGTTGTTTGAATAGTTTGTTTACTTTTGTAGGACAGATAGAGGCATCACTTTTAACTTCAGGCTGTTTCATAACCAGTGAAAACTCCTCATGGGGGCTTTAAAGTCACAAAAACAACATCATAAACAACATTAGTTCATAAAAGTCTATTCTCTCTGTCGGTGTATTTCCTCGGTCTTGTTCTGACCTCGTCCTCTCTCTCTCTCTCGTCTTGTAGTCCGTCGACCCCGGTCAGCAGTTCACCTGGGAGAACTCCAACTTGGAGGTCAACAAGCCAAAGAACCGCTACGCTAACGTCATCGCCTATGATCACTCCAGGGTCATACTCTCCAGCATCGAGGGTAAGAAACCCACGCCAGTGTGTTTGTGCGCCACTGTGTGTGTGTGTTAGTGTGTGTCACTTCTATCTTTGTGGGGACCTAATTGAGAGTGAGGACATTTTTAGGAAGTGAGGGGATTTTTTTTTTTTTTCCACCTCTTCAAAGTGCTGTTTGAGGTCGATGACTCTGTTTGTGGGTTAAGGTCGGGGCAAGGCTTCTAATGGGGCATGTCGCTGTGTGGGTTAAGTTTGACTTTTTGAGTGCATTATGTCAGCAAGAGTCCCCACAAGTATGTGTGTTTAAATGTATATGTGTGACTGTGTGTGTGTGTGTGTGTGTGTGTGTGTGTGTGTGTGTGTGTGTGTGAGGGATGGAGTATTAATAGCCCAAAGATGTTTTGCATCGTCCAATCCTATTCAACGCAGACACAGCCTGCATCAGCGATAAAAAAAAATACATATCAATTTAGGATTCAAACAAGCTCCTGTTCCAGCCCACTTTGTCACCACGTTACACATTCAATCGGCCTCTTACTTGACCAGTTAAATGCTCATGGAGGTAAATTAAAAGCCTCTTCACAAACACATTTTCATTATGTGCCAGTTTTTGCCGCATTTAGACGGCCTTAAAAATGCGAAGGGAAAATAGTCTTAGTCTTGTTCTCAGTGTGTGTTTTTGAAGCGCACTCACCCACCTCAGCCGGGAAAGACCTGAGGCAGAGAAACTGGCAGCTCCGATGTGAAGAGAGGGATTCAGTGGGAGGCCAAGCCCAAACAGATGAGCCTTATCTGGGCAGAGCATGTGTGAGCAGCCCTTCCGCCCCCGCCTGTCCTGGAGCCCTGGCTGTCTGTCTTTTCTTTCAGCTTAGAAAACACATATACTCTTGAGCATGTCCAAACACACTAGAGCAAAAACAACGCACACACACACACACACACACACACACACACACACACACACACACACACATGCACTCAGCTATAGATTTAAAACACATGTCCAGGATGTGCAGAAGCATAGATATGCACTTTAGCTCCCAGTTTTCCTCCACAGATGCTCCTGAGCACACCGTCTCTGCCAAGCCAGTGAGGCCACCGAGTGACTGGAAGTGTGTGTGTGTGTGTGTGTGTGTGTGTGTGTGTGTGTGTGTGTGTGTGTGTGTGTGTTTGTTTGTTTAATCTGCATAGTGCCTCTGCTGTAGTCCCTTGCAATAAAGTTGCAGCACATCAAAGCATTTAGGCAAGCTGTCTTTTAAAGACTGAGGTTGATAAACATATGTTGAAGCTCTTCTTACCGTCTGTCCTCATCCAATTTAAAGTAAGTTGTATAAACCCCCCCCCATACGCCTCTGTCATTTCAAAGTGTCTGCTGAGTGTGTGTGTGTGTGTGTGTGTGTGTGTGTGTGTGTGTGAGATGGGTTTTTTACGAGCATTTGGGACTAAGGGGGGTGTCCATAAAAGAAGCAGCGAGAAGAGAATCCGCTGCAGGAGTCTCTCTCTCTCTCTCTCTCTCTCTCTCTCTCTCTCTCTCTCTCTCTCTCTCTCTCTCTCTCTCTCTCTCTCTCTCTCTCTCTCTCTCTCTCTCTGCCGGGATTCTTCTGTTTGCTCATTGACTTCCATCTTTTTTTTAAAGTGTAAACCGCTATCAGACGACTCGGAAGGAGTTTTTCTGTCCCAGCTCGGCAGAATCGGGTCACGGCTCAATGCACGCGTACACGTCCGTGTGTGTGTGTGTGCGTCTCTGTGTGTGTACTTTGCCGTTTTTTAGTGTATGTGTGCATGTTTGAGCTATGACTCAGTGATTTTTGGGATTATGGTATTAGGCCCCAGATGAGCAGGACTGATCCTAAATCAAACACACACAGACGGTCTCTCTCGCATCACACACACACACACACACACACACACACACATGTACACACACACACACACACACACAAACACACACACACATACACACACAGACAATCCCCTCCAGGACAAGCAGTGTCAGCCGAGTCTTACAGAGAGACGGCCTTACAGTCATATTGCCATTCAAAGCGACACATCCAGAGTATACTCAGATTAGGGCCCATGATCGTCTTAGCATTTATTATAAAACAAGACGGCTGAACAATCCCAACACCAAAGAACGCTTGGCCCTGTGAAAATAATAATCGTGACCTCAGACGATCCCCCCCCCTCCTTCCCTTTCTTACTGGGACATAAACCTGCTTTCATACTTTCATTAGACTTAAAATAATCCTTATAGATTTTTTTGCGGTCAATCAAAATAAGAATCTTCTGCTTCTTATCAGAAACATTCGACCCTGATGTCATTCATCATAAGTCCGAGACAGCAGAAAGACACATAAGACGAGCAACAGCGGCGTTTGGTTTAACCTGTACCCCCTTTACTCCATCACTCTTCATTTACCCTCCTCAATTTGTGCAACATCTCTTTCCATTTTCCCATCACAGTCGGTAACATTCACTTTTGTCCTGCAGGTGTCCCGGGCAGCGACTACATCAACGCTAACTATATCGACGGCTACCGTCGTCAGAATGCCTACATCGCCACTCAGGGGTCCCTCCCTGAGACTTTCGGGGAGTTCTGGAGGATGGTCTGGGAGCAGCACACGGCTAATATCATCATGATGACAAAGCTGGAAGAGAAGTCAAGGGTAAGGAAAGGAGACTGGGCGATAGATAAGATGTTGTAGTTAGGATGACTTTTAAGGAAAAGCGGAGATAGGACATGAGATCGTAGAGGAGCATATAAATGATGAAGAGAAGACAGAATTAGCATATCGGTCTGTTGGGTAGGATCAACTACAGAGGTGCTGTAGAGTACGGTTGTCAACATTGTAGATACTTAAAGGTCACATATTCTGCAAAATCCACTTCCCCATGTTTCTCTAACTCTAATATGTGTCTGTAGTCCGTCTACAAACCCCCCAATTATAAGAAAAGTCCATCCTCTCCATCTTTTTCCTGCTCCACTTTTCAGAAAATGTGTGCTCAAACAGGCCGTTTGGAGATTTTCCCTTCATGACATCACACAGGGCAGTAGCCCCTCCCCCACTAGGTGTTTGTTCTGCCCTCTGAGTCTGCCTTCTCACCGTAAACAATAGGACATGGAGCGAGAAAGCCAGAGACACCCAAGCCCTTCCAGAGAGGGGGCGTGGTCAGACACAGCTCATTTACATATTTAAAGGTACAGACACAGAAACAGCCTGTTCTGAGCAGGGCTGAAATAGAGGGGTTCAAATACAGGAAGTGTGGATTTAGAACAAGAAACTTCACAGACATGTTTTTTGGGAGCTCTGAGACTTATTTAAACTTTTTGAAAAAAAAGTATAATATGTGACCTTTAAATACTTTTTCATACCAGGTGTTTTGAAACAGTAAAATGTCTTGCTTCACAAAGACTCAGATCCACAGTCCTATTTTTAGCCCAAAGAGAGAGAGAGAGGATTGTCTAAATTTCACAAATACATTGCCAAGTTATGGTGTTTCACACTACTCCTGTAATTAATTTTTTTTAAAAAAAGCAGAATTAGGTCTTTAATATAAAAAAAAACCAGGGTTGTCAAGATACCAGATACCGTTATGAGTCTACATTAAATCAGGCGGTATCAGTGCCTGTTTTAATACTATGGCAATAAAAATGGAGGTCCAATGCACCAAATAATGGGTGTTATCTTGTTTTGAATTACCAACACTTGCAGGAAAACTCTTGCCCACTCTCTAAATTGCACAATTACATTGAAAATACTTTTATAGACTTTGATGCTCTTTCTTTTTTGCTCACAGCAGCTTTTAGTTAAAAAATAGAACGGATGATCTGAAGTTTTCTTTCACAGCTTTGGTACTTTTCTGTACTATTGATCACTTAAATAACCAAGATTGTATTCTATTTTAAAACATGTGGTATCAAAGTATCCAAAAATGTTGACAACCTTACATTTAACGCCTTAAAACCGATAAGTATGGATGTCTGTATTTTAGACCTTTTTTTTCCCTTGGTCTGAGCCACTGCACATCGGCTAGCCCTCAGTTTGGCTCGTGTGTAGCAGCAGCGTTCTGTTTTTGAAGAAATGTTGTGGAGCTCAGCAGCTCTTGACAAACAAGAGGAAGATATAGTTTAAGGGAGAGTGGATGTTCAACTACAGGCACTGGAAAGGTAAAAATAGGTATAAGTTATGGACATGGTAAAGTAGAACTGTAGGCAGGAGACCATCAGGAACATTAAGGGACAGGATGATGAGGTTAGAAAAACAGGCTGAGTCTGAGAAGCGGAAGATCATTTTATAAGCTTGAATCAGTGAGACATGGGGTAAGAAAAGTAGAGTTTGTTTAGAGTTGAATAAGGACAGAAAGTGATCGGACATGGTCGGTTTGGCAGCAGTGAAGAGAGAAATATGAATTTTTAAGGCTGTGGAAGGGTAGTGGAGTCCAGATGGATTCAAGAGAACAGGGCAGGCAAGGAGAGGACAAAAGAGAAGGAGCTAAGACACGCCATGTAGAGGAAAAACTGTTTAGAGTTTACACCACCCAAAAGAAGTATGCATCTGTATAGAGAGAAGAGTAGGGCTGGAGTCTGCACTGCAAACATTCTTATCTTAACAAATGGGTTTGTCTAATATCAAGTCAAAAATATCTGACAAAAGCCTCAAGTACAGAGGCTTTTGTCCTTAAAGTGGGCAGCCGGATTCAAATCAGACCCGTGGCTCCTTTCCTGCATGTCATTTCCCCAAAATAAAGCTGCCAATGCAGTTAGCAAAGATTTACTCAATCAGATCATTATCTTATTTCAAGAAACTTTACAGTAAAATGTGTTTGTTAAGTTACTTGAAATGAGAAAATGATCTCATGTGTCCGTTAACCTTGTTTGTTTTTGCACTGGCAGCGCTCATTATCTTTACATACTCAATCTAGTTCACCGCTAAAACACCCTCCACGTCAGCTGTTTCAGCGCTGCGCTCTCTCAGTTGAAAATAGTTCAACTTTTGGATCACCTCGACAGTGTCACTTCTCCCTCTCTGGCCAATCAAAAAAAAGAAGAGGTGGGACTTCTGATACCAGCTCTGTCAACACCAATGGTTAACGAGAAACTTGTCTGACTCCAATTCTTTTGAGGGTACAATTTCCGGGTCTAGAGCCGCTTACACCATTTTGTTCTGCGCTTTGTGGAATTTCTTTGAATAAAAGTAACTATTAAACACACGGAGCAGTT